GGAACCTGACAGGGGGCCCCTTTCAGGGAAAATTGTCTTCCAGGACACCGATCAGAATCCATGTTTAGTGGTGGGAGGGCTGTGAATCTGCCGAAAGTCAGGACTTGTTGTTCCGACTTCCATTGTGCTCCCAAACAGTACCAAGTCCAGAACCTGGAAAGCAAAAACGCCTCTCTTATGCCGGCTTGTGTAAACAAGTTTGGACTGGAACATTGTCATGTGTACAGGCACGTGCAAACAGCTGCTGCTGCACATCAAACAGTGGGATTCCCATCCAAAGTGTCACCTACATTGTGGCGAGCAACCAGCGAGAGATAACCATATCTGTTTTTAGATCAATTGTCATCACGTATCATAGCTCCTCACGGGACAACAAGAATCACGCGAAAAAAAAAAAAAAAACAATTAAAAAATGGTTGCCTTGTATTTCGCTTGACGAGCACCCTCAAGCGTCCGGCGAAACAAAGCAAAACATACATTGATCAGCTTGCCCCTCTGGCGTGGCCTTCGATTGATGAGAAGGTGATGGTACTCAGCCTCCCTCGAATTAGCTGTTCGGTTTGGTGGTTAGATGTGTTCCGGGGCCGGTGTTCTGGGCGCGGTTTGCCCATTGGCCCACAAGAACCAGGGTTCAAATCCAAAGCCAAATTACAGCTTGCATCCTGAGGCATTTGGGTATGTCAAAAGGGTGGGGTGGGGGGGGGGTTCAAAATTGGTGTTCCCTTTGGCTTCCCTTTACAGCAACCCAAAACGTGCACCGTCAAAAAGACAGACCCATTTGAAGCTTGGCGAAACCCTTTTTTTGGGAGCTAGGTAATGGCGCCTGTGTGCCCGCAACTGTGACGTGCTGCGGGCAGGCACATCTTCTAAACAGAAATATCAGTTGATGAAGCCTTCCACTACCAAACCCTACTTACCCTCCCACCAATTAACATGGAACCTGACGGAGGGGGGGGTACCTTTAAAAGGAAAATTAATTCCCAGGACCCCCGTGTCAGGTCCAATTAATTGGTGGGAGGGTAATGCTCAATCGTTTCAGATCCAAATCGCAACCTCAAATCGACGACCAACTCCCATTCGCGGGCGTTGTTCGGTTGCTGGGCATCCGCGCCATTCGGTATTCGCTACCTGGGCCGAGCATAATTGGCGAAGAGCCTCCCCCCCCCCAGCCCTTGAGGTGCCCCAATCCAGTGCTTCCTAGTCTTCACAGAGGGAACATGGCCATGGGTCAAAATCCCGTACCCCCCGGTGAACATCCCAATCCCCACTAAACTAGACTAAAATGGGTGATGCACCTACCCCAAAATGGTACCACTGGTTTTGACACGCAGCCATATGCAAACATAAATAAACTTTAAGGTCTCACACACCCCAATTCCGAGATGAGGACGAGATTCACCCATTCGCTTCCACACCACCTTTTTGAACCTGTCTCATAACTGGGTTTCATCCCCAGGCAACTGCACTAATCACTCGCCAAAGGCCATAACTAATAACTAAGAAGTGGCCTTTAAGTGTGTGACTTCCTGTCAAGCTTGCCACAGTTGCCTTCCCATAAAAGTGAAGTCCCAATGATTGATCCCCCAGAAGGTCTGACTAACAATGAAGGGCACAGTTTGTCAAACCCCGAAACGTATGCGTGTAATTACGGATTGGAAAGCTTCCCCCGCTTTGTAGCTTGTTTTCATTGTTGGGTCGGGGTGGGGTGGGGCGGGGGGCAATAATCTTTGTGGTGGCGTGGGCAACCTTCTCTGGTGAGCTGACCCTCCTACCCTGGGGTTCACCGACAGCCGCGATCTGTGTGGTTGTTTCTTGCTTCTGTTGCTTCAGCGGCTCCATTCATAGTCATATGCAATCCATGGACACTTGTCTCAAGCTTGATGCAACACAAGTTGGCGCACAACGCTCTCCGTCACCAGGGACCTGTTCCTGAGGCGTCTGCGCAAAAAAAGCGTGCTGCCGTAACCATCGACAGAGTCCATTTTAGAATGCGATTCGCAGGCACTTTCCCTGTCCACTAACATGGAGCCTGACCGGTCCTGGAAGACTGGTTTACCTTTAAAAGTGACCCTCCAGTGGGTTCCATGTTAGCGGACAGGTGGGTAGTTCTGCCCCTGGACTCCCAAAAAGCCTGGCGGGTAAACGTCACAAACGTGTGACACGTGCCAAGGGTTCTGGTCGCTCATGCTTGGCCAAACATCTTCGCGTAAAAATAATAATAATAATAATAATAATAATAATAATAATAATAAAACAATTGAACCAGGGCAAAACAAACAAAGGTCACTGGGGTCTGTTTCTTGTCCATTGATTGTACATCAGCATCCCGGGAGAAACATGTGATACCATTTGGGTTTCACTTGGTGCTTGTCCTTTGGTTTCACTTTACCCCCCATCCCAAAATCCCAACCCAAAGGGGGAACCTGGACCCTCAAACCACAACCACAAAAAAGGAATCCAAGCCAATAAAAATGGGCAAATCATTTTCAAGTTGGAATTTTGGCAGGGTCCAAAATTACCCTCCCAGAACGCGGGCCCATTTGGGGCGCGTGTTTTTTGTTTTCCCCGTCCAACGCGACTGGATCCCGAAGCGAAAGCCGAGGCGCGGCTTTCGAAGCTCGGCTCGGGCTGTTGGAGCGGCCCGTTTGGGCCCAGTGCGAGCCCTCGCGTTTGGGCCCGAAGGGAACGGCTCCGCTTCATCTTCTGGGGATTAAACAAAAAAAACATCCAGGCGGGAAGAAATAAAAACCATATGTGGTAGATGCCGTTTAACACCAACAAAGGGAAATTCAAAAGAGTCTTGAGCAAATGGAAGCTATCTCTCGAACTTGTTGTTTACTTTCTGAGCTTGGTCAGGAAAGGTAACCACACTTTTTCTCGGTTGCTCTCTGCTCCCCTGCTAAAAGTTTGACTTTTAGCGGTTCAATACGGAAAACCCACTAGTCGGCAAAAAGTCAAGTCCTAACATCCCTTGGCAAAATGCACCAAAGTCTTGTCTAAGCCACTAAAAGGGTCCAAGCCCAAGCGACAGGGAGTGAGCACTTGGCCGATCTGATGGACTTGGCTTCACACAGGGGCCATGGACTTCGAAGAATATGGGCTGTCCGTGTTCGGATGCCCTGCTCAACGTGTTACTTGTGGGTGAAATGAAAACCACTACTAAATAAACTAAGAACTAAAAGGATATTTAGACGATGGCTGGGAGCCAAGTAATGAAATTGTGGAAGCTGTATTTTTCGCATGGCGCGACATGGCCGCTGAGGTCGAGTGTTAAACCCAAGCAATGATACGGAATAACCCCCCAAGTGTGTGATTTTGAGGGAACCCTTTTCGCGGTTGATTTAAAGGAAGACCAGAAGGATACGAATCAGTTGTTGGCATGGAATAGCAGCCATTATGTTGGGGAACCATCTCCTTTGGCAGATTCTCTTTTGATTGCAGAGTCTCAAGTACTAGCAACCTCGAGTGCTTTCCGGCATTTCGAGTCTCAATGCTGGCGTGGATACACCTGTTTGATGGGCAAGGAAGCCTTATGGCTGAGGTTGCAATCAGAACCCGCAGTGGGACACCACAGGGGAAACCACGATCTGGCATAAGGACCAACGACACCTGCGGGAAGACATGGAGCTTCCGTGTCCGATTTTTTTTAATGAGACACCCATATGTGCTGTCCAGATAGCAGCCATCAGCTTCCCTCCAATTGGTGGCTTAGATTGGTGGTTTGGTTGAAGGGTGGTCCCCCATTTACCCTCTAAGCCAAAACTTCAAACCCCGAAACCACCGGGCTCCAAACCAAAACTGTCCGCTTTCAGATCCCCCGCGAAAAGTTGTTCTGACTTTTAGTGGGCGAAATGGAAAACCCCACTAAAGACTAAGCTAAAAAGATCTAAAAAGCTAAGGGCATGGCTGGGATCCACCAGGCAACGGTTACCTGACACAAGCGCGCAGCGCGCGGCTTTTGAGCATTTCTTGTCTTCCAATCGACCAACGCCGGGGCGTCAGCCACGAGGACCATCCTCGTGGAGCGCTTGGAAAGGAGCAACAGACGTGGCCCCCGAAACGCCTCAGCTAGGAATACCCGCCGACCTGGGCAAGCTCTGGATAAATGGAAAGAACATGACCTCTCCTCACCGTGAAAAGCCAGTCTGTCCGGTCAAGTGGTCATTTTCGCTACTTTCCGAGCCTCTTGTGCAAGCAAGGTGAAACGCTCAGCCTCTTGCCATCGTAAACTGGCAGTGCGAGTGCAGGTAGATTGAAAGTCCATTTGCTTGGAACCAGAGAAACCGTCCCCTTTTACGGAAAATTGTCTTCCAGGACCCCTCAGTCAGATGTTCGTTGATGGGAGGCGACCTCTTGCTCACAACTTGTACAAGGCCAACATGATGCGAAAAGGCACCCGGCTTCTTGCAACATGCGCATCATGGCAAGGGTGATGGACTTGCTGAACGCCCATCTGGGCTGGTCATTGACCTCCTCCGAGTTAAAGCCTTTCCAACAACTCAAACGGTTGAAGGTCGAAGCAAAATCAAACGCCAAGCCATTCTTATATTTGAGCCAGACTTGGACCCCCTGCAAAAAGTTAAGATTTTGTTGATTGAAAGGGCCAATGAGGAAACAAAAACGCCTGACTGATATCCCCAACTGCCCGGAATCACCTGGAACCCTCCTTTGGAACCCTCCCTGAAAGCTGGCCACCACACCTTGTCGCCTATCTGCCATAGACCCCATAGCTTGCTAGCTGGCAGCTGCTGGGGAAAGACTTGCTAGTGCTCAGCAGGGAAAGAGAAACGAAATGACCCCGAGAAAAACATTTTTCCTTATGGTGTCCTTTACGGGACTCCCCAAGTTCATTCCCTCATTCCATTCCTTACTGAGCGCCAAGACAATGAAAACCCGAAGTGAAGGTTAGAAACATGCCGTCCCGGGCGGAATTATGCTCTTTAATGATTCTCACATTGTTTTCTTAGGTAGACCAAGGTTTTTTTCCCACTTATCGAGTCTGTGAATGTCAGAAAAGGCTGAGAGGGCGTGCCTGTGCCACTTGGTGCAGTGGCTGCTGGAAAATGGATCCGCGCTCTCAAGTCTCCACCAGGAACCAACTTCGCGCGTTGTTCACGTACCTTGCTCGCACCAGGCCTGGGACCTCGTTTCAACATGTCTGAAACTCTCCTCCCCTGCGCCTTTGGCTAGTACTTTCTTTCGGGGCATCTTGTTTTGGGGGAGCCCTTGAGTTCCATGTCCGTTCGCAGCTGGAGCCTCCTTTCGGCTTCTTGGCAGGGCCGTCTGCATTGGAAAAGGGTTTCAGTCACCAACAACTCTGTGGCATGGAGCCCGGCTGGAGGCTGGTGTGGATCATTTCCGAGTGGGAGCGTCTGGCGCAGAACGGAAAACTCACATGTGCGACGGGGAAAGAGCCCTGGGCGCGGAAGTGGACAGGCCCCTGGAAAGGGAAATCCATACTGTGGATGGGCAAGATCCACTTCGCACCACTCGGGGGATCAATGGGCATCTGCAAATGCTTGATTCGATATATATATATATATCTTACCCCTTAAGACTCCAAGGATTGGGGAAGTTAACCTTTTACAGACATATAGCCCATGTTACCCAAAAAGTTGAAAAGTTGTGTTTTTAAGAGGTAAGACATATATCAACTGGTGCAGTTTGTCCACAGTAGCGCCTTGCCTCCAATGGCAACGTGGGGAGGGCAAACGGAGTTGGCACCCGACCCTAACAACTCGAACAAGGCGGGTTGTGATTTTGACTCCCCTGGGTGGGTTCAGTTGGTTCGGAGCAGCTTTCCGGGAGGGTCCCGGAAGCTCCACAGCTGGGGATGCCAGGTCATTTTGGTAAGGTGAAGGACAGTCAGCTTCCCTCCTGGTTTGGATTGATTGGATGCTTTCCAGTTGCCCACAAGAACCATTCAAATCCAAATCTACCCCACCAATCCAATCCAAGGGTTACCTGACCCGGGTATCTTGTAGCCCCGGTAAACAAAGGCTGGAATTAGGACCCCAGAAAGAAAAAAAACAAGCATATTTTTTGCAAACCCTTTTGCCCAAGTTCGCATCCGCGTTGCTGGAAGACCTCCTTGGCGTGAGGCGAGGAATTCTTGTCGGGGTGATACTCCACCAGCAGCTCCTGGCTCGTCTTTTTGGTGGCAACCCCCCCCCTTTTATGTCGGTTTTAAGTGGGAACCAAGAAAACCCAAGCCATTTTGTGGGGTCCAGCCTTCAAACAAAGCCAAGGTGATAGGGGCCAAACCACCCCGAACGAGCCTATTTGGGCAGAGACCCCAAGCTTTCAGCTGTCGGGGCAATCCAAAACACAGAGGGCCCAGTCACCTGCTTGGGACATTTTGGGGGGGTCAACAAGGGAGGTGCTCAACCCTTGGGTTTGGTCGCAAGGGGGTTGCAAGGTCGCAAGATGCACTTTTGGGGGTCAAAGTACATTGCGAGGTGCTTGAACCCTCGAAAAAAGGCGCGGAAGTCCAAGGACTGAATACTTGGAATTCCAGAACAATCGAATTCGCAAAAGGTTGCTCGCCGAGGTGCAGTGTAAACATCCAGACATGGCAACCACAGCTCCACTTTAAGCTTGACCCTGAAAAAAGAAGATCATCAAACATGCGCACAAAGTGGAAAACGCGGACAGCTAAATGGTTGCAGAATCCAAGACTGGTTTAACCGTGACTCGCTTTTGGCTTCTCAGGTTCGTGGAGCTAGAACTCTACATCAACATCAGCCCACGAGAAACATCAACCACAATTGGTCCAACAAATGATGCCTAAGCTTTAAAGGGAAATGTAGGGTCCCTGCAAGCACCATCCCTTAAAGAAGGCCAGATGCCAGTCCAAAAAAACGCACAAATACCAGATGATTGTTGGATTGCCTTGTAATGCAAATGGTTTTGGATGTATATCTTAAGAAATCTCCCCATTGAACATTACCCAGAGCAACTTATAGACTATAAAGCGCCAACAAGGGAACCTCCTGAGTCCCATTTACATCTGAAGGCCTTACATTCCAAGGCGCGAGAACCAGGAAAGCATGGTGGGCCCTTCTTGCACAGTGCTACCTTCAAAGGCACAACCATGGAAGCGGACAAAGAGTGCTTTGGGAGAATACAGCCTGTCCAAGATGGTCGGGGGAGAAAAAACAACGTGTTTGTTCTTTTTCTTTTTTGTTTTGCTGGGCAGCAGATGTATAAAACTGTAAGAAACTTTGACGGGGAGAGAAACTCCAACACAAAAGACTGGGTCAGCAATAAGCTGCCACAGCAGCTGGGTCTTATGCCAAAAAAAAATCGTCTTGCATGAGTCCAGGCAAACTACTACCTGGACCCTCAAAATTCCCTTAGACATAGGTTGTGTCCCAAGATTATGGTGTGGATTCCCTTTTTCTAATGGGTAGTTTGAGGGTCCAGGTCAGGTGAACCTTTGCTTCGATTGTACGCTTTTGCATGTGCTTCAAAAGGGAACCACCTGAAAACCACTCTTTCCGGGATTCCATATTTGATTTGGAGACAAAACCTAGGACGGCGATTGCACAGCTGGTGCTTCAACACCGTGAAGGTTTCAAACTGGTACATGTCAACCATCTGGGCCAATCAGATCGATCCTATGGAAACCGAGCTCAGGAGGAAGCTTTTTCTTATTTGGGGTTTCCTTGCTTCAGGTTGCTCCAGCCCACTTTGACCCGTTTCGTTGATTCATCTGTGGGTTACACGTCTTCAAATTTGGAAGAAAAAAACCAATCTAATATGTCCACAGCAAAACATAATGAACACCCTGCTGATGAACAACATATTGCACTTAGGTGGTTCATCAACCATTTGCAGGGCTTCCTAAATTTCAAGGTGCAGAGGTTCGTCCACCCACACTACCTCCCACCAACAAACACAGGGTTTCTGTGCACCAAGCCACGTTTGTTGAGGGTGGACCAAAAGGTCGATTGGCACTGTGGACCATGGGCTAGACTTCCCAAATTCGAGGATATCGTAGGTCGAACGGTCGATGTGTTTTTGTTGTATGGGTCAAATCTGTCCAAAAGGAACGGAACGCAGAAAACTTATAGACTAGGCTAGTGGGGCCCCCTTTTTGGCAGACTCCGCCATCACCGTGGGACAAACTCCTGTGGGAGAATCCTTCTTTGCACCCCCCAACCTGCCAACGCTACCAAGAGGTAGAGGGAGGAAGTGAGTCAACACAAACACGTTGTGGGGTTGTGGGTCCCAACCAGTTGGGATGAAAATTAAACCCTGTGAATCCATAGGATAAACCACCAATCCCAACTGGTGCCCATCGATTCGCGCAGATTCAGTCTCCACATGTTCCGAGTTCTTCAACCAATGGGTGCACTCACGTCGGATAAACATAAATCTGCACACTGAGTTCTACTCGTCTTTTGGGCCTATCCGCCCTCCCAACATGTCAGTGAGAGGGTACCTGGAAGCTCAGTTCCTCTTGGAGGGACCCCTGTCACTGTCAGGTGCCATGTTAGTGGGAGAGAGAGTAACAGTTGTTTGACTAGTTGCAAATTAAGGGTTGGAACTCCCTCTTGCTCTGGACATAAACAAATCCCCTAAATGTCCACCAAAGGGCCCCCTTCGGAAAAAAAACAAACTCACACCCATGTATGGCGCCCTCTGGTAACTCTCCGCAACAACAATATATACATATATATATATATAAACGAAACAGTGATCTTCGCGCGGGTCCTTGAAGAGCTTCCTGCGGGTGGCGATGGGCTCCTCCATCATGTCATGCAACTTCTTCTCCACCGCTCGCACCTGGCAAATCGAAAGCGCCAAAGCTGCGGGGTGCCTCGTCGCGTTCGTTTTTTGCAAGGGCCTCTGCGTGGGTTTAATTAAAGGCAGACCAAAAGAAAATTACACCAGCCTCGACCCCAAACAGCAAAAAAGCGTGACAGGTCTATATAACAAAAAAAGCTAGTCTCCTTCATGTAAGGTGCGAAATTGAGTAGCTTATGTGAGCAACACATAGTTACAATCAGCCCATGTATGTTTTTTTGGAGTCCCCTTTTTTGGGAAGAGGACACATCGGGTTCAATGCCATGTTCGAGAGTGAAGGCCCCGTACATTCGGGGTGAATCAACCTAACACCTGGCATTAATCAAAGGAAGTTTCGAAGAAACTTTCGTAGTACAGACACTCAATGCACTTTTCCATCACCGCAGCATTTGGTGGCCGTCCTGCTACTCTGCTGAAACTTGCGTATCAGTCTCAGCTTGCGGCCGAGACTGGACACATGCCACTTCTGGTTGCTATCTTCTTCTCAAGCTCGGCTAAAGGTCTTGCCACAAGCAAAACAGAGCACTTGCATAAACTTGCAGGCTGTGCCTTGATCCTCGCCTAGCAACGCAGGGACACGCCGCACCAAATTGGCAAGCGTCAGCAAAGGTGCCCGTTTGGCGCGCACCTCTGTCACCCGGCACAGCTCCAGAAATTTTCAGTGTTTGAGCCGGCAGAAGCTTGGTCGTCTCTGTCGTGTCCAGCGCGCCGCATGCTCCCAAGATGGCCAACGCATGGCTGGGCCGCTCCATTCTGGAACTGAACGTCAGCTCCAGCCCTGCTCCATCTCGGAAACGTGTGAAAACTTTCCAGCTTACCAATGCTGGCTGCACAGTGGACACCACCAGCTTGGCCGGGTTCATCTTGGAGTTTGTGCTTATGGTTCGCAGATTGAGGTTCACATGTGTGGTGAACGACCGGCGGCCGTCATTCCAATGCACTCAGCTCCAGCAGCACTGTAATCAAGGTCAAGGTCAGCGAAGTAGGTTGCCAGGAAAAGGCTCCTATGCATCAACCAAGATTTTCGAGGAGAACTCGACAAGTGCAAGGACGATGCAAACAACTCTTACGAGCTAATGGTTTGGCTGGGGACCCGACTCACCCAGGCTTTAGGACAACAACCGGTCAGAAAAAACCTTGGAGCTCGGACCCCCCCCCCCCTAACGATGCAACAAGATGATAAGTACGCCTGCTTGACTGTGTGTTCGCTCGTCCCTCTCTTGGATAGGACCAGATCTCCAAGAGTAAGTAACCAGGAAGCCCCTCCCCCCAAAAAAACCATCAAACACAGCGGCGGCATTAGCAACTCTTATTAGATTATACAGCCACCGAACATGTGTCGAAACATGGCCATGACCGTGTATCTTTGTTGCAATCACACATTGAGCGCTAGAGCCGCCATTCCGTAATGTTGCTGGGGAGGTCGCCACGCACGCAGAGTGTCCAGCAGCACCGAAACCGTTTGCTTAAACGGGGGGGAATCGACGTTCAAGGCGTAGTGAAGGCAAAGCTGCGTCGTCAAAGAAGAAATGGGCTAGCACAAGCGCCATGCAATACAGCTCACGTTGAAGCTCTTTGTTCTTCCATGCGTTAATAGATTGTAGGGAAGCTAGTGCCTTACGACGTCCCCTTGAGCCCTCACACGTGCAAGCCCTAGGCACTTTCGGACACGTGCAAAACAGCAGCGTCCATATTGCAGAATATGTGGAAATCAAGGCCGAGAAATCTGTCTTCAACCCTTCTGTCAGGAGGCAACGAGATATATCAAAGCTGCGACCTTGGCATCTGCGTTTGTCAGTGGGACTGGATTACATCGGTTGCAATGAGGAAAAAGAGGACCAGCTAGCGAAGTAAAAGACTAGATATGATTTTGGCCGGGCCACATGCCTATCGAACTGAGAAGGTGTTAACAACTGGTAACAAGATAGGAGGCAAGGTTTTCAACAACACTGCCAATAAGAAAGGGTGCTTGAACCACAGTGATGCTACCAAGAGGAGACTTGAAGATGGGTGGCCCGAAAGCATGCGCAGCGCACGGCGCCAAGTAATCCTAGCTAGTTACGGCCACTTACTTGGCTGGGCTCTGATGCGCCATAAGGATGCAAACCAGTCAGTTAAGGCCACTTGGCTAGGCTGGGCCACTTGGCTGGGCTTTGCTGATGCGCCACAAGGATGCAAACCAGTCAGTTAAGGATGCACACTTGGCTGGGCTCTGCTGATGCGCCACAAGGATGCAAACCAGTCAGTTACGGCAACTTGGCTGACCTCAGCTGATGCGCCACAAGAATGCAAACCAATCAGTTAAGACCACTTGGCTGGGCCCTGCTGATGCGCCACAAGGATGCAAACCAGTCAGTTACGGCCACTTGGCTGGGCTCTGCTGATGCGCCACAAGGATGCAAACCAGCCAGTTACGGCCACTTGGCTGGGCTCTGTTGATGCGCCACAAGAATGCAAACCAGTCAGTTGCCACAAGGATGCAAACCAGTCAGTTACGGCCACTTGGCTGGGATCTACTATGCGCCAGAAGAATGCAAACCTGCACTTGCCAAAGAAGCGGCGCTGGCTTCCAAAAAGCAGCTCAGTATCCTGAGCAAAGCAATCAACGGGTGTCCCAGCACATTTGTTTAGCAAGAAAACAGACACATTTAAGGCTCGACAGGGCTCAGGATGCAAACCTGCACTTGACCAAGAAGTGCGGCACTGGCTTCCAAAAAGCAGCTCAGAATCCTGAGCAAAGCAATCAGCTGGATGTTTTCGTATATTTGTTTATCGAGAAAACAGACACATTTAAGGCTCGACAGGGCTCTGCTGATGTGCGGCGTCAGGTGCCTCCTCTGCAACTTGCTCCTTGTTCTCTTCCTCGCGCTCACCCTTGGCAAGCGCTTTGGCCTTGGGCTGCTGCGCCTACGTTGGATTCCTTCGCCTTGGGCTCCTTCAGTTTAAGGAACTCCTGTTGGGCTGTTGGCCAAGAAGTGCGGCACTGGCTTCCAAAAAGCAGCTCAGCTGAGCAAAGCAATCAGCAGGCGGATGTCGCGGTATTTGACATATTTAAAGGCTCGGCGGGGCTCTGCTGATGCGCCAGAAGGATGCAAACCTGCACTTGACCAAGAAGTGCGGCACTGGCTTCCAGAAAGCAGCTCAGAATCCTGAAGCAACCATCCGGATGTGACAGTGTCTTTGCTTTGCCAGAAAATGGAGACATTGAAGGCTTGACAGAGCTCAGCTGATGCGCCACAAGCAAACTTGCACTTGGCCAAGAAGTGCGGCACTGGCTTCCAAAAAGCAATCAGCCGGATGTCACTATATATTCGTTTTTTCAAGAAACATAGAGCTCGACTGGTATTTAAGGCTCGACATTGCTTGAACGATACTCCACAAGGATGCAAACCAGCGCTTGACCAAGAGAGAGGCACATCCTTTGCACAGAGGCTCACAACGAAATCTGTAACATGCCCTTTCCCAGTTGCGACACTTTGTTGCAAGTGGTTCTTGCTGACTTGTCGAATTTTTGTTTCCAGCTTAATGCTTCTCAATTACGCTTGCGAGCTGCTGCCACGTGAGCCGAAGGGAGCCGAAGGGAACCGAAGGAGCCGAAGGAGCTGAAGGGAGCCGAACGCGGCTACTAGGCAGCCTCAAAACTGGGTTTTGCCCAGAGACTGGGTGGCTCCAGCGTCACAGCATCTGGACCGCAGAAACTGGGAGACAGCCCCAGATGCTGTGACCGCGGTCGTGTCTCCCGCTTGTCTCCCTGTGTCTCCCAGTCTTTGCTGTGACGCTCGGGGTAGCTCGGGGTCGTGTCTTGTCTTTCAGTGTCTCTGCTGTCAGATGCCAGTTGCTGTGACGCTAGTGTGTCTCCTAGCGTCACAGCATCTGGCATACCGCAGAGACTGGAGACAATCGGGAGACACGACCCCAGAGCCGGCGCCACTACAGAGACGGGGAGACACAGAAAGAAGCGCGAGACACCACCCCGGAGCCAGCGTCACACTGGCATCTGACCGCAGAGACTACCAGACACAGGAAGACAAGCGGGGCAGCGTCATAGCATCTAGCATCTGACCGCGGAGACTGGGAGACACAGGGAGACAAGTTGGAGACACGACCCCGGCATATCGCAGATACTGGGAGACACAGGGAGACAAGCGGGAGACACGACCCTGGAGCCAGCGTCACAGCATCTGGGAGACACAGGGAGACAAGCGGGAGACACGGCCCGCAGCCGGCGTCACAGCATCTGGCATCTGACCGCAGACAGGGAGTTAAGCGGCGGGAGACACGACCCTGGAGCCAGCGTCACGGCATCTGGCATCTGACCAGAGAGACTGGGAGACAGGAAGACAAGCGGCAAACAGGACCCCGGAACCGGCGTCACACTTTCCCATTCTCTATACTTCAAGTTAGAACCCCAATGCTTTGCTGTTTGGGGAATTAATCAAATTAATCAAACAAAGAAAACGGTTGACCCTTTGTAGTACAATTTGTAGGCTTAACCATGTAGGGTTAATTGTGGAAAAGCCACCAAACAAAAAGGGATTTAGAGGGTGGAAATCCACTAAACAAATGATTTGAAACTGAGGGCAAAGAAGGAGTATTATAGGGTTACTCCAAGCCCCCTGAGCAAAAGGTTGGTCCTTTACTAGGTTGACTGAAGACGCTATTTGTTTCCAAAGGTCTTCTTGGGTTTGCCTCAAAATTGGGGAACCCCACAAAATGGTTGGTGTCCTTTTGGTCTCTACAAGCAACCAGGGGGTTCACACACCCTTTCTCGGTTCCTGACTTCATGGGCCGAGAAAAGCCCCCCAACTGCTTTGCCACTAAACTGGTCCAAGCATCCGAAAAGTTTGACTAAAGCCCATGACCTCAGGGAGCATCGGACCAGCCATGGGACCAGCCCTAGGGCAACTCTCCCCTCTCCGCCTCTGGCGACAGGTTGCTCTCCGGCGCCGGCGCGCTGGGTTTCTGGCCACCGCCTTTGGCAAGCGCAGTTGGGCTGGAGAAGAGTTAGGTGACCCGTTGGATGAGTTCGAAGCTTGCGATCGGTGCGATAGGTTGGGAATGTGGGAATGAACCTGGGATTTCCTTCAAGGAAACCACAAGGGATTGTTTACAAGGGTCATTCCGTTTCTCATTCCCTGAGCACCGATCGCAAGTAAATGGGTTCAAGTAACTCGCTTCCCAGGAAACGTTTTGGGGGTCGATAGGCCAGATAGGCGATAAGCGGTGGCTTGGGCCAGCTTTCAGGGGATCCAAAGGTTTCCAGAGCTGTTGGGGATATCACCTGGACCTATTTGTTTAAAGAACAACCATCTCCTGATGTGGCCGTTCTTGGAAAATGGCTCAAATCTCCCTGTTGGCCCAACTACAAGCTTCTATCAGGGTCAGGTGATACCACAAGCTGTGGGAGCTTGTTTCAGGACAAAAGACATCCCATGGCACGCCGTGGCATTTTGGTGTCCTTTTGGAACTTCAAAATAATGGTTGCAATTCAGCACCCACATAAGGGATAATCCAATTCAGTACGTTGTGACCATGGCTTCAAGGTCACTCTCAGTTCTCCCAGTTGTGCCAATGGTTGGAATCATGGTTGATGGACCCCCCAAATGGTCGGCCTCCCCTGCAGCTGCGGTAGCCTACTTAAGAAATGGTACAAAACCAGCTGCAAATGACACTACAATTGCATAAGGGATCACCAAGTAAAGAACCTGCATCACGGCTATCGCTTGTTTTACCGCCTCGGTCGGGAAAACCATACAATTGGCACAGAACGTTAGTGCGCTGAGCTATGGTTTTGTCTCACTTCGTGGGTGACCGGGTGTCCCAAACATGTGGGTGTGTCTTGTTACCCCCGAAATGGCTTCGGTGGTCCTTTTGGTTTTCCTTTAAAACCATCAAAAAGGGAGTTCCCCCACAAAAAGACAGACCCATGTCCGAAATGTGAATCTTCCCAAAAAGTATAAAGTCTTGGATCTCTGAGACTGATGGTTCTGACCCAAGTCGCCACATCCAAACGCCGTGACTCAAGGTTGGGTGTGCTTAAACAACAAGGGCTGATGAAACGATGGTTGGTTCCTGGTTAAAGGATCCTCCTTTTGATCCCCCTTATGTTTTTCCTTTTGGGTCCGGTTGTTTCAACACTTTTTGCCCAACCCTTTGTCTTTGTCTGGGAGTTGTTTGAGGCTACCATTATTGTTTCGCCGATTGAAGGGAAACCAACACTGTTAACACACAACCTTGTTTTTTGCAGCTCACTCAAAATGGTCAAAAACAAACAACTGGAAACAACCACAAAGCAACAACAACTTGATCCAACAGCAAGACATGAACGCCAAAAAACGAAAAAAATCAAGGGACACCAAAGGGACAAAACCAAAGAACTGACACCCCCGGATCGATCGCCCCGGATCAGCGAGCGCCTTCTTCTTTGGGCGGAGGGCTCGAGCGCCTGGCCCGGCCCGAGTTGAAGCCGGGAGCTGCACTCGTGGGCCCGGGGTGCACCTGGCCGGCCCTAAGAAACCCCCGCACTTATGTGGATTTGCCCCAAAAAAAGACAGAGAACCCCGAGTGCGGCAAAGTGACTTAAGTGCCACGAATGTTTTGGGGTGCCACAAAACCCGAATCTTATGTGACTGAAGAACACTTGGGTTGCCACGAAAATGATCCAACCCCGAAAAGTGACTTAAGAGCAAGGATGTCACTTCCAATGTGGATCGGCCAAAAGGAACAACGCGTTTGGTTTGCCACGAAAATGGTCCGACCCCTAAAGCGACGAAAGTCCGACTCAGGAAGTGAGGATACTCCCCTTATAATGCCTCAAGGGTTGATTCGGGGAGTCACCTTCAATTGCCCCAAAAGGCCCCGTGGGTAAGCCACGCACATTTCTTGTGTCCCTGCATGAGAATTTGGTAAACAACCCCCCACGTCCAACAGTCGATCACAGTAACTGCAGACCGGTGATACTGTGGATGGACAAAATCCTGCACCACTTTGAATCCATGGTTGAAACCATTATTTGTTGGTACGGGGAATTCATTATTCCAGATATTCTGAAGGGTGGTGCGAAATGGATTTCGTCCATCCACAGTAGGACAAATTCCATGTCAGCCAGGAGTTGTTTTGCCCTGTGGACATGAGATGACTTCCAAACCCTTCGGACAGCAAGCACACCGCAGGGTGTGTCTGAGTCGCAGATCTTCTTGAACCAAGGAAACCCTTGTTTTCAAACGATGTTTCCAAGGAAAACCCATGAGCTTGATTGTTCAAGTTGGAAACTTGGTTGTGGCTTTTGGTAGCTGATTCACGGGGATACATGTGTTGTTAAAGGACACTGCTTTGTTGATGCATCTGCCGGTCTTGAATTTGCTGTGTTCATGTTCACTGCTTCATTTTCAAGGGACTCCTTTCTAAACGAACTAATTACAGCAAAAACTGCCACACCAACCCTCCTAGACATCCAGTGGTCATGGCAAAGGAAGACAGCAACGTCATCACAGGTCTGGATTGAGGTTGATTCTTCAAGGGCAGGCCGCTTGGCTTGAGTCTGCCGGTCAACCTGTCAAGCGTCACTTTGCGAAGGCAGTTCTACCTTTCGGCTGGCAGAAGGCACCTGTGGGATAGCTGGATCAACATCCTCTTGAAGGGACCAGCCTTATCAGGGGCCATGTGGGGAAAACAACAAAGAAAACGACTAAGATGAAGAAGTTGGATGTTGGCACAGCTGAAACTAATGGCTTGTGAAAGGATATCCTTTGTTTGCAGGTTTGCAATTCAAAGGACAACCTCTTTGGCGGCTGAAAGCGATGCCGGCATGCTGTCGATTGTTCGACAAGAACCTCTGAGTTGGCTTTCTCCCCCACAGATTAACATGGAACCCAGAACACCGTAAGCTTTGAAGGAATCTCCTTTTCAGAGGAACCCTTTTTGGGTTCCATGTCTATTTGCAGGGGAGGATGCTTCAAGGGAAACCCTCTTTCATGAAGATCAAAGGACAAAGTGCCTATTCCGGTGTTCGTTGGCACATACCCCGAACAAGTGACTGAAACACAACGTGTGCTTCACCACAAACCAGAATGAAATATATGTGTTGTTTAAAGGTATGCCTACCCCCCCCCCCCAGAACAACATAGCAAAACACGTGGATTTTGGAGCGAGACCAAAACATAAACAAATGAGACCTCGTGCAAGTTGGTTCATTCAAAACCCAACCAAACGTTGGATATGGCACATGTTGTTTTTCAAGTAACACCCACCCAAGCAATCAAACAATTGGGTGTGCTTCAAACATCTTCAAACGAAACAATCTTCCCATCCCTCAAAAAACAAGGACACAAACAAGCATCACGAAAGCACTATGACAATGCATGTGGTGTTTCAAGGGAAACTGCAGAAACAATGCCGAACACTGTTTCTCAAGGGACATGTTCCAACAACAAAGGACAACCTTTTGGAAATAAAGGTCAAAAGGAGGGCTTTGAATAACTGAGTATCAGTCGTTTTCACAGGGGCGAATCTAGCCCCAAAACATATAATTCCATAAGGTGTTCGAGAGACCTCAACCTTAAACCTTAACCCGCAACTGGTCTTAGATGTCAGATGGTTTTGGTGGAGATGCCTACAAGGGAAAGCTATTCAAAAGCAAAGCCAGCAGGCCACCCGCTTCTTTAGGGAATCCCCAACATGTCTTGTGCTTTGGCACCCAAACAAATCCTTCGACGAGATGTGTGGGGTTGACCAATATTCCTGGCCCCCAAATGACCCAGGCAACCCTTTCTCATGTGGTTGAACTGTCAAATCTCAAATCTATGTCGTTGTTTTCCAGCCAATGGTCGCCCCAGCCCGTGCCATCCGTTGCTTCTGCCTTGCCGTTGCCCGTCTTGGAGCTGGGCCGCTGCGCCCAGGTCGCCGCCGGCCCGGTCCTTGGAGCTCAAAAGACGGCCCCAGAGGCCGACTCAGTTGCCGACCAAAATCAAGTGTGGGAACAAGGACCTAGGCGCATCAACTATGTTGAGCTTCTGGCTTCTGTTTTGTTGTGGCGTTGTGAGTCTCAACTTGGAAGTCGTTCGCGGGTAGAAACAAAACTTTCAGATGGAACTCCACTTGTTCATTGACGTCAATCACCCTGGTTTGGGAGCTGGCGGTTCGCTTACCTTGGTTTGGGAGCTGGAGGTTGGCATCCCATGAAATCGGCCATCTCACCTCCCTGACCCTCGTACCCACAAGCAGTGTAACAGAGCCTCTTCAGCTTCACCCCGTTGCGCCCGTTGGAAAAGTAGCCAGCCATGGGTGCTTCCTGAAATGCTGGACATGAATAAATGGCAAGCGTCCTTCAGGCTGCTTATCACGATACCAACAGAGCCGTTGAAGCTGGTTGATGGATGATTGAACATTACAAGAACTACAGGCTGATAGTGTTTTGTATCTTTCGCTATGGCTTTCTTTCTTTGCTTCTTCCTTTCTTTCTTTATGTTGTTCTTTGTTATTTGCCCTTTTTCTTGTCCTTAGGTCCTTTATTGTTAGCTCGTATTTCTCTTCCTCTTTCAATTGTGCGTCCTTATTTCTCTCCATCTCTCCTTATCTTTCTCTTTATCTTTCTCTGTATTGCTCTCTTTCCCCTTTCTCTTTGCACTTCAGTTGTTTCTCATGTTTCTCTTACTTCTCCTTATTTTTCTCTTCTTTCTCTTCTCTTTCTGTTTCTCTGCCTTTTTGCTTGGCTCTCTATCTTCCTCTTTGCTCTTTAAGTTATCTCTCCTTCTTTTTATCTATCTATATATCTATCTATCTATCTATCTATCTATCTATCTATCTATCTATCTATCTATCTCTCTATCTATCGGGTTGTTTGTCTGTCTGTGTACCTTTCAATCTACCTATCTATCTTTCGATCTACCCACTATTTTAACTTTATGATATATCTATCTACCGATCTATCTATCCATCTATTTGTCATCTAGGCATTGGGATATTATGCGCAGTGCTGCAAGAGCTCTGCGCCTGCACCGAAATCTATACCTGATCATTTGTCAGCCTGAGGTGTAGATTTCGTGGCAGGCACACCACCTTTTGCAGACTCAGGCGCAGATTGCGTGACATGTGCAACGCTTCGACAATACTGTCACGGACGGGTTGCAAATACCATTGGCACGGATGTGCGCATATTCACAGATTTTGTGGAAGGCGAAACACTTTCGCAAGGCCAGGGACAGTTTTGTCAAAAAAGGGGCCGCGCCCGCCCTGCGATCTGTACCTCAGGTTGCTAAGCACTGCGCCTGTCACGCAAGCTCAAGTCGCTAAAAGTGAGCAGGTGCGCCCAATTTTTGCCAATGGTCTTGGATCCGGAGCTGTTCCGAGACTGCTCCCGGACAGTCTCGAGTGACCGAGGAAGCTTTCAGCCCTCCGGAGATGCCAAGCTTGCAGAGGGTTACTCTTTTCCCCGGTCTCTGTTCCGGCCCCCACACACGCAGGCGTTTTTCCTCGCATGCATTCATGCGTCATCTTATCTGTGCGCAGCTACCTTCCAATTACTGTCCGTACCTCCGAAGCTTTGGTTATACATGTAAAGGGGGGGCTCCAGCATTGTACAAAACAGCTCTTCAAGCTGTTTCTTCAAAACTGATGTAAAATGGCTGCCTAATTTAGGGACGTCGATTCGCGAACACAGGCCCGCCACGAGCAATTCGGGACCCCGAACCCGTCGATTTGCGAGCAAACCCAATCTGTCGATTCAAAGAAACACACAAAACACCAAGCTCATTCCGTGCCTGCGTGCCACACCTTTGATCCCTTCTGCGATTCGCCAAGCGTCGCCCCTGTCGCGTTGGTCGCGGACGAGTTCGCGGGCTCCTCTGGAGGTTGCCGGTTGCCTTCTTGAAGGCAGGCAGTGGGCACCCCGGATGAACCAATTCCGGGGAGGAGCGCCCCCTCAATAATGGGAAGGGTTTATGTATCCGGGGTCAACATCACACGGCCAGCCTAGAATAAGGGTACCTTTTTTTCCGCAGTCTATTTTCGTAGGGGAACCCTCCCCCAAAAAAAGGGGCACTACTGGGGCCCTAGTCTAGAAACTTATGCAAACCTAGCAATGCTTTGGACGAAATCCGCTTTGCGCCCTGGGATGGCTGGAGCCCTATCTGGGAGAAACCACCTCCCTGGTGCATCCACAGCATGGCTCACCAACCTTGGGGTCAACGGCTATAGCGGAACACCAATTTGCATTGTAAACAACTCTATAATCACATGCCGTGTACGTGTCAGAAAGGGGTCTTTGTTTGCAACGGTGGCTTCCTTTTGGTTTCTGTGTAAGCTGTTGTACGCCAACCAAAGCGTACCCTTAACAACACACGTGCACAAACACGTGCACACACACAGACACGACTCTGGGGAATTTGGATCTGCCGCAAGCCACACTGTCGATGGACAATGCGCTAGTTGAAGGTGGTTCATCTCCCCCACCAAATACTGTGTAAGGAAACTCACAGGGGCCCAAAAGGTGATGAATACACCACCAAACAGGGCAATGTAGGGACGGAGCCCTGCCACAGTTCAGGTCATACAAGAGCCTACCTCGCGGGTCTTCGCTCGAAACCCATGAGATGGGCCATAGTTCGAATGCCGATCACGGTCTATTCAAATCGCAAGCCATGTTCAGTTTCCCTGAAAGGACCAAGGCTTATCCAAAAGGTACAACCATGGTTCTAACAAACCAGTTGAGCCCAGACTCCTGACCGCTTTCAGAAACCCCCCCCCCACCCCCGCATCAGAAAGGGGAGAAAGGAATTGCCACTTCCAGGATGCTAAGCTGGGACCCGTGCATGAGAGAACGTCAAGCGGGGGGATTTCTGTGGCCCCAAAAGTTGGTCACCTTGTTCTGGAAGGGCCAAACAAGTCGAAGTGGGTCTTCTTCCGCTTTCTTTTGTTGTACCTCCACATCCAAGTTGGTCTCCCCACCTCCTCCCCAAGCATCCAAGGGCGCCTCTCATCCGCGGGCGTCACGAATCCAACCAAAAAAGGCCCAACAAGCTCTGAGGATCCTGGATTACATGGCAACCAACCCTTTAGCTTGTAGGTTGCATGCAAATCTACCACTTCCGCCACTTCACCCTAAACGCCGAAAAAAAAAGAAAAGCTGAGGCCCCAAATTCCTGGGGTTCCCACAGCAAAAAGGTCTCAAAAGCTGAGGGCCCGGACGCCGGTTGAAATTTCCCCCCCCCCCCGCTCCTCCCGGAGCCGCTCCGCCGCCGCGGCCGCGGCGCGGTAGGCGCTCTCCGCCGCCGCGGAGGCCGCGGCGAAGGAGGCCTTCTCCGGGGCCTCGAGCCGCGCGTGGCCCGGTGGCGTCGCCCGGATCCGAAAAACTTGGGAGACACAAAAACCGGAAAGAAGCCAACAAAAAGGGGTGACGTCCCGAAAAAGAGATGGAAAACAAAGGGGGTGTGGTACACAGATGGTCGGGACCGAGAACTTGCCTTACTAAACTTCGCGTACCCGGGCTTTGATCGTGGCTCAGGTGAGTTACTTGAAACTAACGAGTAGCCCCTTCGAACACAAGGGGGTCACCCCAAAAAAAACTATGCGTGCAAGTTGGCGTAAGTGGCAAGACTTCGTGGTTCTCAGCGGGTTAGGAACCAAGTGCCAAAGCATTTTGAGACCACAAAAAGGCGATTTGTCAAGTGCAAAACCTGCCATGAAGATGACCCCTCCAACAGCGGGTCCAATGACGATTAGGGTCGGAACCCCTGATTGAATCTCCAGAAAAAAAAAAAAAAAAAAACAACTGATTAGAACACTGTGTGACATACTTGGGTAACCATTCTTGCGGCACCCCCCTCCCAAAAAAAAGAAAGAAAACCAGAGCAAAAGGAACGTAGTCCAGCGGCACCCTTGTTCCTACCATGAAGGTAGGGGCCAAACCGAGAAGACAGTCGACTCTGAACCCAGGTTGGCTATAAACCCCAGAAGCGGTGGACGAAATCCATTCCACACCACCTGGGATAGATACAATATTTGGTCCATCCACTCTTGGTTGCTGTTGACCCCTCTGCAAACAGTGCTTAACTTTTGGTGGGTTCAATTCGGAAAGTAGCAGCCACGGAAGCCTCCCCGCTCGGCCGGTTCTGCCGAGTGTCAGCGCTAACGGCGCTAGGTGGCCGCCGCTCCCGGCTGCCGCGGTCCTCGCGGTTCAGTCTTCCCAAGGGGGGGGGGGGCTGACTGTTCCAGAATAACGCTTCCCCATTCTCTAAGCGGATTGGATGCGTTTTCTGTCCTCCTTTTTTGTTTTTTCTTCGGGTTGTTCCTCTTTCAATACGCGTTTAGTACTCTTTTGCCAGCCTACAGGGGTGGATCGAAAACGGATTCAACTCGTTCCATCTTTTCAGCAAGCCAAACACCCTTGGGGAAACAGCTGGTTACTCAGAAGAAGGATGAAGTTGAACAGAATGGGGAATCAAGCCCTAGAACTGTGGATAGGCATGAAACCACATGAACACTGAAACAAACCACCAATACCAACTGATGCAGGAATTTGTGCATCTGCAGTACGTACCTCAAGTTGAGGGCTTGTGTGACTTGTATAAAGTGTTGTGTCTAGCTTAAGATGAGCGTGCTTTACTACGTCTTTGCGTGGTGGGTCACAGGAAGTCCATACCTAATCTGGGCCGCAGTTGTTGTTCCCTTGAGAAAACCTTTGTCCTGCTTGTTTAAACTCTACAATCGTAAAGGGGTTGATGACCAGCGATAGAAATCCAGCTTAAAGGGCATGTCGATCGTTCATATATGCGTTATGCAACATGTCTCTATCTGTATTACATGGGTATGAACCTTACTCAGTTACTTGGCCCATTGGTTGGTGGGCATCATCATTGGTTTTTTTCCCACCGCCTGTAGTTATGAGTGTTTTTAATTTATACTCATAGCAACATGATTGAAAACACCGTAGGTAGATACAAAATAACGGGAAGCCTCATGAAAACGGCTTTGTGCTTTGGGAATGCGATTTTTCTTGGACAGGAGGCTCCACTTGTTCAAGCGATTCTTCCCTCAGTTTCCCTTTGTCAAAGCGATTCTTCGATTGGCTTCCCTTTTAACAGGACAAGCTTTCAAAGTGACTCTTTGCGTGTGAGCTCGCTCTAAATTGGCAGATGTGTGCATGTGACAGCCTGATTTCCCCGCGGGGGGATATGACGGACACCTGTGGCCTACTTTCCAACCACCTCCGATTCTAGGGTTCCAAGACCTGCAAAAAAGGGACTCTCTACCTTCCTTTGCCTCAGCGCCCTGCCCAAAAAATAAAACAACAACATGTCCAAAAATGATAGATACCCTTGAACACCAAGAGCGGAAAATACCAAACACCTTCTTGAGCCAATGGAAGTCATGTCCATGGAGCGGCGTCCCTCGTTCCGCCAGCGCGCGTTCCGATTTGCTCCGCTCCTTGGGCAGCAGGTTCTTCAGGGCCGCGCCGTGGGAGCGCACCAGCTTCACCAGGCCGATGCCCCCGCCGAGGATGCAGAACACCGCCACGGAGACGATGAGAATCCTCGCACCCGCTGGAACCGGGCACGTGCTCGGCGGATGGCACGTGCTGGCGTCTTCTTTTTAGGGGAGATGTTGGTTTCCCTTTAACACCACCGAATTCTGGGAAACCTCAAAAAACACACACACACACACTCACGTGGATGTATGTGGATGTATTTTGATGTATCCGGATGAATGTGGATGAATGTCGATTGGGGTTGGTGGAGGTTGTGGTGGGTTGGTGTGGGTTGGTGTGCGTTGCTGTGTGTCTGTGTATTGGTGTGGCTTAGTTTAGGTTTGGGTTGGAGTCAGATCCTTTGGCACTCCATCTTGGGACAAGTGTCGCGTACCCCCAAGAGTAAGCTGTTATCACTTTTAGGAGCAAATCCATACATGGCCCCCAGCCTTTCCAAAGCACGTGGTAAACCAGGGTTTTCACACAAAGACCCCGCAGTACCGTTGAAAGACCCAAATTCACTTCCTTGCGCATTTTATCTTGTCTCATCTACAACCGGCATTGTCCAAAGCACGCAACCAAAATTGCAGCCTCAAAACGAGCTCTCGCAAAGCGAGGGGTTTTTCAAGTGTGTTCACGGGCTTTTCACGTTTTATTCACGGGCTTTTCACGTTTGTTCACGGTTGTTTCACGTTGTGTTCATGCTACACTTAGTTGAAACAATTTTGCTCCGTGTGCTCGAGTTACATCGGCAAACATATCGGGACCCTGCCGGCGGTCTGAACACAGTAAACCACTGGTAAAACTAGGTCGTTTGCAAGACCGAGTTAAGCGAGGTTGAGGAAGTCCTGGGTGGTATTCTCAAAAAACACAATCGTGGCGAATATTGGTGGGGGGTGGCCCAGGAAGTGTGCGTTGTATATATTGATTGAAGGCGTGAACTAATATAGGTTGGTGGCTTGGGACGACTGCTTTGCCATGGTCAAACTCAGTCCCCGAGTCTTACGTGCAAGGAGAGAAACTGGGTTTGATGAGTGAGATTGGTAGGTAACAGAGTCAGCCTCAAGGGACAGCTTTATGGGCAATCTAGGTTTATCACTTTGATAGCTGGCAGAAGTTTCAACGAGGGGTATGCAAGAAGCTTCCAACCACAGCACTATGGTGAAACATTTGAGCGGGAAAAGCAAATCCCAAATACAAACTCCAAACAAGTCTAAATTGTAACGCATCAAAGCGGGAATCGCTTTTTGCGATGGTGCTAAGGAAACCAAGAGGAAACAAATGAGGTCGACAGTTTTCAGACGTGCCAACATGAATCCTGAAAACATGGATACGAGTCTTGCTTGCCAAGACTTAAATGAGCGTCAGGTCTGGAATCCATTGCCGAAAATCGCGACCTTCATGACACTGGGTAGAGCCACCCACTTGTTACGGCCAATGGGGTATAGTTGGGTGCCAAGAAAAACCCCAACAGGGCAAAATGGCAAAGAGGAAAGCTAAGGCAATGACCTTGGGGCTTGGGACTTTCATTGAGGCCTATGCAACACTCACACCGGGCCACTGCAAAAAAACATCACATGGGAGCGAACCAGTGGGTCTCTCACAAGATGGATGGATGAGGTTGTGAGAACCCCAATCAGAAAGAAGCAAATGCTTTTGCAGGTGTCCCTCCCTACCTCCCCCCCCCCCCCCCGCCACCTCCTCAGCGCCCCCCAAGTTCTGCCGCGGCGCACCAGGCCCACGGCAGAGCCGCTGGTGGGCGTCGTGACGCTGCCGCCGGTGGCCGCTACGGCGGCGCGGAAGTTGTAGGCCATGGCCGGCAGGTCGCCGCTGGGATTCCCGGCCAGGTCCTGACTCAGATTTGGGTGAAGTAGGTAGTTCGCCCCTTGTGGGGTACTGTCAAAACTCGCCACGATCCATCTGGGTGAATCATAATTATATTTCACCAACCTGAAAACAGGTGCTTGGGAACCTATTCCCAACATAAACCACCACTTGGGGTGAATTCGGGCGTGTGAGGTGGTTATAATTCACCCAGCTCAGATGCCCAGTGGATTTCCTTCCGGGAAAGCCGTTGGTTGCTTGCGTTTAAAGGGGAACCCCTATACCGCCTATACCCAAAATAAAGAGACAAAAGGGGCACCAGGTGACTAGGTCCTCCAGTAGAGAGGATAGAATAAGTTGGTACATGTTGGTACCAACTTTTTTCAGGACGTCTACTTTAGTAGGGGAACCCTTCCCCCAAAAAGGTACAGGGGCACCTAGCTGACTCAGATGCCCAGTGGGTTTCCAGGGGAAAGAAGCGGCACATGTTTTGGGGTTGGTTGAGTACTCAACCCTAAACCCGTTTTTTGGTTGCTTGATTTTAAAGGGGAATCCTTACCAAAAAAAAGGAGAAAACGGGCACCAGGCACCCGTTTTTTGGTTGGTTCCGCTACATTGCTCAAGACCCCCCCCCCCAAATGGAGTGAGTGGAGCCCACATCCCGGCCTTGGTTGAGCTTAAAGGGGAACCCTTACCCCAAAACAGCAGAAACAACGGGCACCACTGGGCAACAGAGCTGATGGAAAACCCAGATGGCTCTCACGAAAGCCTGGTGGGCGATGATCCGTTTTACTTCCTGACACTTGAGGGGCCAAACAAAAACAAAGAAAACATGTTCACTTCGGAAAACCCGGCTGGCCCTCAACAAAAACCTCGGGTCGGTTCCATGGTTTCCATGGTCCTGTTTACTTTCTGAGAGTTGATGGGCCACACAGGAAAACCCAAGTGAACATGTTTTTTTGTTTTGTGCGGCCCATCAACTCTCAGAAAGTAAACAGGACCATGGAACCCACCCGAGGCTTTTGTTGAGGGCCATCTCCTAACAGCTGATGGGTCAAGAACCCAGATGGTCCGTTGTACTTCCTGAGAGTTGATGGGCCCGATTTGTTTGTTTGTGTCTAACATTCCCGCCGAAAAGAAATGGGTCTCAGGGAACCTCTGGTGGGTTCCATGTTAACGTCTCACTTCCTGTTGGGCCGAAAACCAACTTTCTGCTTGTCACTCAAATGGTCCAAACCCAAAAAGTTTGAAGACAAACTCAGGGAGTGTTGTGTCAAACAATAGGGATTCATACTCGGGGTTCGTACATAGTGTGTGCATGCGTGTTTTTTTGGTGTGCCCCATGTCATCCTTGCCGTAGATGACACGCAATAGTGATCACTTTCAAACCATGGACAGGTCTTTCGAATACAGTGTTGAGGCCATCCATGATCAAAAAGTGCTTGTTAGGGGCTTGTTCATGCTTTTTTTTCCCGTCACGACACGGATAATTGCGTGGCACGGTCAAACCTCCGTTGTGTCATAGTCATGGCTCAGTTCCTTTGCCATCGTGGCTCAAGGTTGACGACCTAAGGAAGGACTTTCAGTCTTTCGGGGGGCCCCCTTCTGCTAGGCCATTTGAAAGGTGTTTTTACAGGGCTCCCTATATTTCCCTTAAAACATCATGCACACCAAGGGATACTCTCCTTTCATGGGCCAAAAAGGTGATGTGTTAAACCCAGCAAAAAGGTAAGAACATGGACCCCTGTTTTAACGGGGAGAAAAGGAAAGCCACTCATTTTGAGGGTCATTGAGTCTCGCCCATGTCCCGGACCCAAAGAAGTGAGCCATAGTGTGGACGAAGTCCATTTCGCACCACCCAAGAAGCCCCGTAATGATGATTCCATGCAAATAACAAACTATGGTTTCCCATGGTTTCAAAGTGGGCGAAATGGATTGCGTGCACCCACTGCAGCCTCAAACTTTCATTTGGGTGACCAGTTGTATGTTCCAATGGCTTCCTTTCACAATCTACATTGATTGTCATTTGCCACAAGCTGGAAAACCTGTATTAGAACCTGTTTTGGGCCCCGTGACGAACATTTCCCCCTTACATCACCCCGCCAAAATGAACTGGAAACCCACAGATGTGGCGTGAAAGCAGCCCTTAAGGCTAGAATCCTGCCTTGCGAACCTCCAAACTTGCTCACGCCAATGGACTGCCGGGAAGACAAAGGCAAACAAAAGAACACTGAAGAGGAAATATGGTTGGACCTCCGGCAAAAGCCACGAACCAGGGCCTTGGCGAAGTTTGTTGCGAGGGCTTAGCTTCTGAGCCGCCACTCGATGGGAACAAAATGGAGGGTATCTGCTAGTTGTTTGGAAGAGTGGTGTCATTGTCCAAAAGCCTGAAAGGATACAAAATACATGTTTCTGTTGAACAAAACATATGCTACATATGTTGCATATCTAATTTCTCTCATCTGTGGTTTGTCCAAAAGACTAAAACAGGCTATATGGGTCAAACCAAAGTCCCTGTGTCCTCTTAAAGTCATGCTCCAAAGTCCTGAAAGTTGTCATGTCTTATACTCGAGGTGCGGAGAAATCCTGGCAAACACCCCGACCCCCCCCCCCAACCCCAAAAAGAAAGACAAGAGAAGTTGACAAGAATAGTTGGTCCGTCAGTGTGTGAGACTAAAAAAGCCGAAGCGACATAATAAGACCTGACATGTCTGCGTATGATTGAATCTTTGAATGTCAATAGGTTTCTTCCTACATTTGAGAACCTCTTTTGAACAGTGTTCCGATGGAACCAAACAAAAACCAGCCGTGTTTAGAATCCCCATTGTTGGAACGGTCAAACTGCATTCATGCATACGACACCAACCCGCTGAACTATGGAGTACTGACTCCAAACTTTGGCCCCCCCATCGGGGTTGCTGCAAGCCCCCTGAGCATGTATTAAGCCATGTATTTCCAATTCGGTCGCACCAATGTAACTAAAAGGGGGTTGATGAGTCATGTTTTGCGGGTCCGCTGGTCTCACTTTGATCGAGTGGCTTGGCCACAACAAGTAAGCAAGCGTTCGTTTGCAGCCAAAAAAAGTGTTCCAAAAAGAAACCCAGAGACTAACGTATAGGAACTCATAAGGTTCCTTAAAGCATACAATCCAAGACACAACTGCCTCAAACTGGGGATTCTCTAAAACAGGGCCCAAACTCCCCCCAAGCATCGCAAAAAGCAACGACTGTGTCCGTAACAGCCCCGGCAGGAAGCTCCAGAGTATAGGTCTTCCCAGACCTGCCAGATCGCCAGGAAATGAGAAAACGGCGTCCGTATCCAAGGCTGATTGCATAGGTCCATATGGCTGTGGGCCAAACATAGGTGCCCAACATGGAGCCCTGGCAATTGGAAACATGGACTCAAACCTGTGGTCTCCTGCTAGCTTAATATTAACCCACCCAGATATGAACCCAGAACCATTTTGGACCCCAAAGAGAGGGCCTGATTGCCCAAAGTGGCGGCTTCTCCCTAGAAACGAAGGGAACCACCGCTTCACTCCAACAGACAATGGCTTAATGCGGTCACTGGGATGTTCAGGGTGCCTAAAGCGTCACTCCAACCAGAAACTCAAAGCTTGAACATTTCGAGAAATGTATTTTTCGGTGTAGTCTTGACCACCGAAGTTGCCCACAAATCGGTTCCCGAGGGCCGAGGGTCCAACCAAATGCAAAATTTGGGAACATGTTTTGGCCCAAAGGGGGAATGCTAATTGAATGCGTTTGAACGGTGCTGGGCCATAAGGTGTTGTTTGAATCAGTGCGAATCCTCCGGCCAGAAATGGGGGATCTAGCTCACTCCCTGAAGCTGCCCTCCTCGGGTCGGGAGTGTCAGCTACGCTGGGTGGTTCAGCTTGGTTTGGAGGTGGGAGTGGTCATCAACATGAACCTTGGGGTCAAATCCATGTCAAACCCTCAAACAACCAATCCCAACCACCAAAGGCTTACCTGATAGTAGTGTTCAGGTCGCTCTTTGGCCGTCCGGTTTTGGTGGGAAGTGCGCTGAGTCCCCCCCCATGTCGATCCATCCCAAACGGTCGTTTGAAGGCTACTGGCTATATTGACGGAACCTCCAATGAGATACAAATACAGTTGCATGCAAAATTGGGCCTGATCCCGCAGAAAGTTGAGCATAACCCTTCTTGTCCTCCCCAAACTAAAATCACACTGGGTTTGTCTCGAAACTAAAAGAGCCCGCAATGACCGGTTTCCTGTTGCGTAGTGCTGTTATACCTTAGGAGCTTTAGAACAACGCAATCAAAAAGTGCCAACACTAGAAACAATTCCACATGCGGTGGGAAGTGGTGCAACGATCTGGCAACAACCCATCTTGCTTTGGGCAAGACATCATGCAAGTTGGCACCTTAAAGCTACTAAGCGAATAAGCTTCTGCCGACTCATTGTTTAGCTTTGTCGTAAACATGCATAGCTGATGAAAAACACACAATCTCGTACAACATGAAACCTGTACATACCAGGACTTTTTCCACTGCCCTGTCCACCTCTTGGAGCGTGCCAGCTACAGTACTAACTTTGGAGAAGAAAATGCTGGTGGTCACCATGGTCGCCCAGGCCTAAAAATAGAAAGGTTGCGCTTCTGCAAAACTTGAGCTTCTTGATGCGATTTTTCGGGGGATCCCTTGGGCTGTTGAAACTGGGCACCCGCATCAGACGAACTCAAACCCAAACCAGTCAGGGGGAAAAAGGAACGAGTCTTGATTTTGAAGGGCAAACTCGCTGGGAGTGACTTTGAACAAAGGACCCAAAACTATCCCGCTTCAGCCCACGTCAAACTTCCCTCTGCTTTTCTCACAGAATCCGATACAAGGGTGATCACCATTTGGGACCTCTTGAATTCGTTGAATTGTGGTTTCCAAAAAAAGGCAACTAGAACCTAAAAGGTCATTTCCGGTTGGATAACAACTGAGTTTCAGACGGGTTTCCTCGTGTGGTGCAGGGACCTAGACCTTCATTCGTTAAAATGTTTGTCCCTTGGGTGTTTCGTAGCAGACATTTGCTCGGGCGTTTTCGGGGGAACGGGCGCAAATTTGGATTCGAGCATTTTTGGCTATTGCGGCGGCTTCTCTCTTCGTATGTAGTTGTGGAAACATGTGGAAGCATACCCGCAAAACGGGCGCCTTTACCCGCAAAACAAGCGCAAATCCAAATCAAGTAACAATCGGTGTTTTGCAAGAAGCCCGTGTTCATGAAACCAGCGATTTTTGGGGAACGAACACTTGTTGGACCATTGGGCAAAAATAGTTGCCCCGAGCAGTTAGTTATGTAACAATGGAAGGTCCAGCGAGAAATGTAGTTGGAGCCCTGAAGGATTGATCTCACGGAATCGGATGGATGAGATTCGCCTGAGAAGGCCATCGAGGTGTATCCGCAGCAAGGAGGAGGAGATGATCTCCGCATTGGGTGCCTCACGCCGTTCCCCCCGCCCCGCATGGGTGACACCATCCTTTGTCAGATGGGTTACCTGAGGCGGGTTAAAACCCAGGCCCACCATTTATGGGGTTTTAATGGGTGCGCCTGTTGTGGCTGGGGTGTCGCCTTGTTTTTTTCAAGGGGAACCGACAGGTCTTGGGTTTTGAGGAAAGGACCGTAGGTTTTGGTCCATGTTTCCACTTACCAGGGTTCCATTTGGGGTTCTGATTTTTGACCCACAGCCAACTCAATACACCTTTGTATTCCAGGCCCTCTCCGAAATTGCCATTCGTCAAGGATTCAGCCAAGTAGCAAACTAGGGCACCGTGAACTTCGGATGAACCCGGAGGACAAGTCAGGTTCCTTTGACTAGGGTTCTACGAGTACGGGTTGATCCAAGGTATTGTTATTGGGTCAATGGAAAAGCAGTCACGAAATCTCACTAACCTCCAAACCCCTAAGTTCAGTTACCCAGCTCAGACCCAGAAAAAAAGCTTAAATGGGCCAACAACAGAAACTGAAAGGTCAGATCCGGTCAATTCGCCTTGGGCCTTGGGGAGACTAAGGGCCAACATTCGTCAAACCCCACCCCCCATCCCCATCCCCCATCCCCACCCCCCATCCCCACCCCTACCCCCCAATCTCACCCCCCATCCCCCCCATCCCCACCCCCACACCCCATCCCCTCCCATCCCCACCCCCACCACATCCCCACCCCCGCTTCTTCGGCGCCTGAAGGGTAATCGCGAAGGTCTGCACTGCCGCAGTGGTGCCGGTGGTGTCAACCTGCGCGGCAAATCCACCAACCGCACCACTTGGACAAGCCACCCATCACTTGTGCGAAATGGATATTTGGCCCATCTGACGTTAGACCCTGTGTAAAAAAGCATAACATCAGAAACACAAAACACCCAATATGAAATTTGGTAATGTCTTGATGTTTGAAGGAACTTTGGTAAGCAAACGCTGGTTAAACATCCCAATGGGATTTACCATATCAGCTTCCCTCAAAAAAGGGTGGAGCTCCATCGATTTGGTGGTGACATGGATTTGGGTTTTCCCAGTTATCCTCCACAAGAGCCAGGGGTTAAAAGCCGCGCCAATCCAAATCACCTGTTGGAGATTACCTGACCATAGGGTCAAAGGAAACGGGACAAAAGAAGACAGATCAGAGGGTCAAAGGGTGCCACGGAACCAATGGGATTGACTTGAATCCACGGGGCATTGAAGACATGACTGGCATGCTTTAGGGCTTGCAAACTTGCCATTGGCACTTCACTAAAATGGCAAGCTTGCGTAAACACAAGACAACAGAAGCTTTAGACCTGGTCATAACCAAAACCACGCCTCAGTGTGATTGATACTAGCATTATTCAAGGGTTGGCATCCTTTCCGTGTCAATCCGAAGATGATTGCAGCGCAGCATATTGTGCAGAGCAGCATACTGTATGCGGACAACCGAAAAGGTGGGTGAAACGGTGAGCGTTGCAAAGGCGAGACACGACTATAAGGCAATACATCAATTCTTGCCCCACTCCAGTGCTAAGAAGGGTTGTATTGTACCCTGGTGTATTATTCTGGCAGCACCTTTCTTGGGCCTGCTTTCAAGGGGAACCAAAGACCTTCCAAATTGACCCAAGTGGGAAACCACGGCATGTTCGTTCACTCCCTTTGATCAATCTTCACATTGATGCTGGCAAACAGCCACTGCCGGTGGGCGGGCGTGCTCCAAAATGAGGCCGTACGTGTTGAACCTCTGACGAAAATATGGAACCACCAGCAGTGATCTATCCCGCGATTTCCGAATCCCCATCGCCCACAGTCCACAAGGACATCCACGCGCCGTCGTGGGGCGATCCATGTTGAAGCAATGCGTTCGGGAATTTGCCAATGCCACCGCAGCGAACTTGGACCTCTTAGCCGCTTAGCCCAAGGACGGCATGAGGAGGTGCACGCATGCCGGTCGCCGCGCTTGCGGCCAAGCGCCAATGGGGCATTGCGCCAAGTCACGATTTGAGGCGTCCGTGCCACAAGTTGCGGCGCCCTATTTAGGTGCATCCTTGTTTGAGGGTATCCCCTGTTTGGGGCTTTAAAGGGCAACTCAGAGCAAAACCGAGTCCCATTTTGCGGGGTCCCCTGGCCCCTAAACAAGACACACCCATTTGCTGTCGTCCCCAAGTCTGCGTGGTCCAACATTTGCTGATCCGCAAAATTTTAGCACTCGCCAGCCTAGACCTCCAGCTGGGAAAAGGGCACCCCTTTTTTTGTTAGTACGTGGCCTCGAAGGGAAAACCCCGTCCAAAGCAAGGAGAGAAAACAATTGACAATGGCGCCTTTTTGGTAAGTTGCCTTTAGAGGGGACGTCAACAGGACAAGACTCTCCCAAAAGAGAAAAGAAATAATAGCTTCAGATTCTGGTTCATAGGAACCCCCCACTAAACCGGACAAAAACAAAAACTAAGGGGACGGTAGGGAAGCGCCAAGCTTGGTCTACTCAAAAATATAGAATCGCTTTAAAGGAGTCCCCAGTTTGGACTCTCCAAATGTCTCTCTCTCTCTCTCTCATTCGCCTCCAACCGGCTGAGCATCGCCTGAACCGATTCTGTAGGGTTCCTGAGCGAGGAACCATACCGAAACGAGGAACAAAACAACCTCCAAATTGTGTGTATTGTGTGTGTGTGGGGTGTGTGTGTGTGTGGGTGGATGTGTGTGTGTGTGGGTGTGGGTGCGGGTGCGGGTGTGGGTGTGTGTGTGTGTGTGTGTGAGAGTGTGTGTGTGTGTGAGTGTGTGAGTGTGTGTGTGTGTGTGTGTTGCGTGTGTCTGTTCAAGAGTACCCTTTGTTTAGAAAGATCGGTTGACCAGCAAAGTCACAGATTTGTTGTTTTGGGGCGAGGGGGTCCGACACATACTTACACTGACTACACTTGGCCCAACTCTGGCGCGCACCAAATATGTGTTTCACGACCTGTGCTATATTCGTTCGACCTTAAACCTCCATTTGCCGAAGACCCCTGAAACAAAGTTACATAATACGCCCAGTCGTGATAGATTCCTTCGAAACCAACAGGAATAGATTAGAAGTATTCATTCAGCCAATGGAAGTCAAGCTACAAGAAGCTTTTTCTACTCCCAAAGTCAAGGGACAAGTTCAAAGGGAAGTATGGAAGTAAACTATTGACAACATACGTTTTGAGTAGACCCCGGACCTGACAATGTTACCACCAGCCACCAGCAAAAGCAAACAAATAAGAAGCTTCCTCTTCCCAGGGCTTAGGCTGCCGAAGGGTTGTTGAGCTAAACGCGTCCTACTGCGGATGGACAAAATCCTGCACCAAAGAAATCCTGGAATGACGATTCCCCGGTAAATGCCAACCCACAATGGTTTCCAATGGTGAACACAAGACCAAAGAGGAATGAGGGCCCCCTAAGTCTAAAAACGACCTGTTTTGCAGTAAGTGAAAGGCATGGCTTCAAAGTGTTGCGACATGGATTTCGTCCACCCACAGTATTAGCAGGGTGTCGGGCCCAGCAAAAGTGATGCGGATTCCCACTGAAAGGGGACATCGGACACCCCCAATCAAAACCAACCAAGGGTTCCGCTTAGATCAGTGCCCAGTACACAAGGAACACGAAGTGATGCAACCACGAAAGGTGTTCGATCCTGGCTTGGTCCTGGTAAGGTGTGGAACACGTGCAGTAGGGTTCCACTAGACGCTGTTTAAACCCAAGAATGGACAAGTTGTCTCAAACCTGCTGAAAGGAACACATCGACAATATGATGATTGTGATCACATCGCAAAAAAGACTTCAGTACATCTATTCTCATACCGGGTCTAAATGTGTCTTTGTTTGAGGTACACCTTGTTTTGTGGTTTCCAGGCAAAATCAAAAGGAAACCCGTAATCCATCTCGGGGGCCAAAAAGAAGACACACGTCTGCCAGATGTGGGTACGCGTCAAAATTAACCACCGGGGGACCGCAGGTTTTAGTCCTTGGTTCCATTTTCCAGGGTTCCATTTTGGGTACCGATTTTTGACCCATACCATATATGCCTCGAGGGCTTGGTGAAAACATGTGAAAACGCTTTGCCTCTCCGAGCGGCAACATCACCGGCTCACTCCACAGGAAGTTCACGTTGCCGTCCAGGGGGACCGCGATCTCGAACCGACGAAAAGGATCTAACCAAAAAGGAGCAACTCAGAGCAGCTCCTGGTCATTCTGGGAAAGTAGATCTTCTATGCGGTTCTCAACATGTAACATGGTTGGCTTAAACAAATGTTTTTGAACATATGTGAATTTGTACACTTTGTGTTGCTTTGCCAAACGTGTTCTGCTCGGTCGGATCAATACACGTCAAGCTGTGATTTTCAAACCACCATGCCCAGCTGTAGCAGGTATGGGCACATGTGCTTTGGACAAGCATTCTTGAACGAACTGCATGTCAAGAGGAGTTGCAAATGTTGCACACTGCTTGTTGCCTTCCTGCAAACCCCCATCCACGTTTTGTCGTACACTTATCATCAACAACACATACTATGCCAGAACAGTCGTGCGCGCCGGGTTCCAGAGCTGTATGGTGACCCGTGTTTCATGCATCCCCTTGGTATTCATCGTGGTTTTGTCTGCAAACTGTATTCATCGTGATTTTTGAGCCAATAACTTCAACCGATGTGTACCACGTGTGAATACTTGGAATGGCCACAAAAAGACCAACTTTCTGCGAGCGAGCTTCTACTATCACGCAAAGAATGGAGAGGGGGCTGCATGCAGAGATCAAATGCGTCAAGCCCGCAGCCCGGAGGATCTACGATGTGTCTTCTGTGGGAACCCAAATCGGCAACGGTGCCCTGTAGGCTTCTCTTGCCAGCCAAAATCCGGTTCCCAGAAGACACACCGATAGTTGTTTGGCGCAAAACTGCGCGCATAAAAACGCGAGCAGGGACTTGTAGCGCGGTAAAGGTAAGGTGGATGCTCGGATGCCCGTAAACATGGCATTCTAGGGGTTGATTCCATTTCCATTCTTTTCAACCATCGTTCTTTTCAAAAACCGGATCCGTTTTCTCTGGGTTTCCGGAGGTTTTCTAGAAAGAAGGATCCCTGTAAAGAATGGGGAAGGTACCCCTAGAGGCATACGAAACCAAAAAGGGCGCACTGCGCAATCTGATTCATTTCAACTCCAAGGTTACGAGCCTCACATTGAGACTGTCAATCTTACTGCCCCCCCTATGCAGGCAGGATGAAAAAGCTATTCCAACACTGACATCATGGATCCAATGCCATGAGATGCTCGAACCCCGCTGGACAAATCGCATGTGTGTCCCCTTTAAGTGAGAACATTTAGTGTCACGTGGATTCCTCGTAACCTGCGTGTTTTTTGCTTGTTGCATGAATCCAAGCTGAACAATATCCTCTGATATCCTCGGTCAGCTCAGTGTTGGCAACTGGCCAAACTAGGGGCCTGAAAAAAACAACAAACAACATGTGGTGTCACGCGTTCTACGTAGCCAAAGAGCCGACATGCTGTTGGGGTCGAAGTCGATCAGCGCCGGGCCAACCGTGTCCAGAAGTTGAAAACTGCGTCGAGTCGTAGCAGGGGGATTGGTTTAATCCAAGCAACCAGCTGCATGAGCTTCCCTCCAGATTGGTGTGGGTTGATTTGGTTCGAACAGTTTGCCCAACCATCTACAAGAACCTGTGGTTCAAATCCGAAACCAATCCAAACCACCGAAGGGCAACCTGACAGGAATTTATACAGGAAGTTTGCACACCCAAAAACAGGAACAATTTTGAAAGCCCCCCCAACCGCCCTCCCCTTGCGGCATTGGTTGAAAGGATTCGGCTCCGGGATCTCTAAGAAGTTAAGCTTCTTGCCGGATTTATACCAAACTTGGTCAACATGCTCCTGCAAATCTGCCCTTTGACAGGTGGTTGCATGGAGGAGATGCAATTGGAGTGTCCTTGCCCTGCACAAGCAGCATGCTAGTTGAGATCTCTAGGAATCTGCGACATGTCCCGGCCAAGGGAATTCATGAGCGTAGCTGTGGCTGTGTATTTTCAGCTCGGAGACCAGCAGTAAGCACAAGCGACACACCCTAAACAACCACTTCTAGACTTCATTCATGTCAGTCGAGCATTCAAATTTAAATATTTCTTCACCCTTCCTCCATTATGTGACACATGTTCTTCTAGCTTGTGGTCGTCGTAGCTCCTCATGTGGAATGGTCAGTCACACCGAAAAGATGACCAAACAATCATATCCTAATGGGCCTGCGATTAGATACGGAATCCAAAGGACACCCAGTTCTTTTGTGTTTCAATAAACAACCAGCTTTTCTTACTCTTTGACGCTCTTTTAAGTCTTCCCTTGATCCAAACAGCGCATCCATGCCTTGGAATCCCTGCAACAGTCCGTTTTTCCTGCCTAGGTCCTTTTGACGCCACAACTCAGGGAGTGATAATTTCGGGGAACCACTGGTTCTGAATATCAAGCCCAGGTCGGACCTGTTCTAGGGGCGATCCCCCATTCCATTTCGACAACCCACCCTTTGGGAAAGAAGGATCCCTGGTGATGGGCCCTAACAATCCTTACAAACCAGACATGTTTTCGGTAATGACCTTCAACATCTCTACAAATGGTTTCTCTCCGGTGGGCAAAAACCCAGGTTCAAATCAGACGGCCCCAAGTTCAAGACAACCCCAAGTCTAATTTGAGCTTCGAAACACGCGGCAACAAAAAACAAAAAACAAACTGACTCCTGTCAGCAAATCTATTGGTAGGTTCATGTCGTTGCAATTCACAGCGGTGGTGTCTTTGTTCAAACCGAAGTTTCACCCTCCATTGAAAGCTCGGAAGCCGATCCGATCCTTCCGTTTGAAGTGCCACTCCCCTACATGAGTCTGTCTTTTTTGAGGGCGTCTGTCTTGTTTTAAAAGGAAACTAACGGAAAACCATCATTTTAGTTGGCCGCCCCGAAAAAGACAGACTCGCATGTTTCTGCAACTATCACAAACATTCCAAAACCTGAAATGGGGGTCCATTGAGGAATTCTCCTTCCAGGCACCCTCCAAATGCAAGGATTATCAGCCTGCCTCTAGTTGGTGGGTTTGGATTGGTGCTTCGGTGGTTATGCACCCTCTCCAAGACCAGGTGTTTAGCGGTGGTTTCCCATTCACCCTCTACAAGAACAGGGGGTTCAAATCAAAATCCAAACCAATCCACACCACCAGCTGCGGGGTACCGAGGTTCAGTGGAGCAAAGAACTCGCCCAGAGCATACGGATCGCCTGTAGTCGCCCTGCGCAAGGCCGGCGAAAGGAATTCCCTCCTGCGATGGCCGATCGAAACTAAACCAGACCTAAGAAACCAGCACAGGGAGAAACACCAGTGCAACCGATACTGTGGATGGTTGCGAAATCCATTTCGCGCCACGAAATCAAACTATGGGAAACCATCATTCCAGAGTTCCTTGCATCGTGCAGGATTTCGTCTATCCCCATGCAGTATGGTTGAAAACAACTTTGTTTTGTTTGTGGCCCCGTACGGCAGAATGAACCAGACAACCAAGAGTCTAAACACATGCCAACAACAGTGAAGAGACTCCTTCCCCAATGGCTGTCTCAAGATATGACGGATTCCAAAAATATGTGAGCCGTGCCAAATACTCTTGTGTAAAAAACGGTCCTATAAACTTGCTTTCGCGGACCCTTTCGCGATGCTTTCGCGACCCCATGTTTTGCTTTCGCGGGCTTTGGTTTCTTTAGAATTGCTTTCGCGACGCTTTCGCGGCGGACCGTCACACCTCATTCAGGCTTTCGCGGGTCTTTCGCGGCGGGACCTTCTTTGGTTACTTTCGCGATAAGCTTTCGCAAGCTTTCGCGGCCTGCGTTTTGTCTTTCACGGGGATTCTATAGGACACCCCCCTTTACTACTTTGTATTGTCAGGGTTTATGGCGCTGCTCATGTAGCTTCCGGTTGAAATCCCTCAAAAACTACTAGTGAATGCTCAACATGTCCCCTTGAAGTCACCCCACAAAAGGTGCTTCAAGCACAATGACAGACCCGGTTGGCACACATATCACATGTCGTTCAATCCAGTACTCAATCCAGCACTATCTTATTTGCCAAGCCGGTCCAGCAGGAAAATACGCATGGAAGATAAAGCGCATGATGAAGACTGAGGCATGCCAGAATCCATTCGGAAGCCAACGCAGTCCTATGTTTGATCATCAGGAATCTGCGGGCTATATTTGTCGCGGGGAGCCGTATGCCCTTAAGTCGGAAACACGTTGCTGAATATGTCCAGTGGTGATAGATTCCCATTGAAACCAACTGGGGCGGGGGTCCAATTTTGGTATATACAAGAAACAAACACATAACCTACACTTTTGAGTAGGGCCTAATATAAATATGTATATATATATATATGTTTTTTGCCAAACTGGGCCCACTACAGTGACAACACCAGGGTGGCTTCACGCGAAAGACAACTCGAGTTTGGGAAAAGCTGCGACTTGAATGGCTCTCCTGTCGTTGCCATAAAAACCCACTAAAGAATCTAAAGAAATGGTCCCTTTCAGGGTTTCACTCAGTCAGGTTCCATGGGCGTCAACTTCCATCAGCTTCCCTATTGCCTCTAACTTCTGGTGGTTTGGATTGGTGGTTTGAGGTGGTTTCCCGTTTACCCACAAGAACAAAAAAATCAAATGCAAACCACCAATCCAAACCACCAGCGAACGCCAACCTGACATTTGCTGTTTGGCAATCAATGAATAACAAAATGCCAGTCACCAGTTGGGTGTGTCTTTTGTCGAGGGTACCCCTTTTACGTGGTTCGAAAGGGGAACCTTTCAAGAGGACAACCGCCACTTTGGGGGGTCCAACCCTAAAAATACGAGCCATTTGGGCGTGTCTTGCAGCCGCCAAAAAGCGATGTGTGCCGTGCGATCCAGCAAACTCAAGCACTTCACCGCGAACCTGCAGGCATATGCGCGCTCCACCAATGGCGTGATGGCAGCGCTAAGTGTCAGAGTGCCCAGGCTTGGCGCGATGCGCCATCTCCGCCTTCAGTTGCAAGCGGTTCGGCACTATTCAAAATGGCAACGGGTTTCTTTTCAAGGGGGAACAAAAATCGGTACCAAAAGGACACTCTAGATCTGGTAAATGGAAAGGACTAAAACCTGCGGATAACCCCCTGGCAGTTGAACATTTTGACCCATACCCCTTTTGCTTCCCTTCAAAGTTACCGCCAAAAGGGCCTTTGAAGGGCCCGCGTCATCGGATCTCCTCGTCACAAATCAGCGAGCTGCCGATCGACAAACCACAGGTCCTGCGGAGACCGGAGACGGCACCCTCCGAACGTCAGAGGCTTGTCTCAAAGGGAAGCCCCAACAATGGACGGGTTTGTCTCAAAATAGGGATTATTTTGTTTAGTTTCCCTTTACCATCCGAAAGTGGTACAAAACAGAAAGAAATTCGGAACCGCTCGACTCAGGGGTGGCCGACTTTCTTATTTAAAAGGGGCCATTTAACCGGTGGGCTCCATGGCAACGTAGGTTCCGGAGGGCAACCGGTGCAACCACAAGGAAAATATGGGACCCCCCCCTAAAGACAAACCAAATGATTAGAATGGGGTGCACACCATTCAGCCTCTAAAACAACCAAGGATGGGCAACATGTAGGGAATATCCAATCTTAATCCGCAACCGTCGTAATCCGCCACTACCATTTCGGCCAATCCATGTGATCTGCCCCGACGCCCAAGACGGGTTGGCCGATGCAAATTACTGCGCAGTGCCAGTGCTTTGGGCCTTTGAAGGGCCAAGCTCCGACTGTGGTCCCGGTATGCGGAAAGTAAATCCTAAAACACCCCAAAGCTACGCCCTAAAAACCCGAAGCCTAAACCCTTTAAAGAAAACATGAAACATCCTAACCATGAAACACTCAACCCCAAAAAACCAAAAAAACCCAAACCCTAATTGCTGCGCAGGGCCCGTGCTTTGGGCCCCTAAGCTTGAACCCTAAGCCCAACAGGTCCTTTGGGGGGGGGGGGGAGGCAGCGATTAGGATTGATTTTGAACAAGCCAGCTAGCTCGGCGTAGACATCCCTCTCCCTTACGGCAGGCAATCCCTCCCTCCGGTGCATGGGTTCCTCCCCATTGTTTGCACATGCAATCATATCTATCTTCAGTATATGGTTGATTTAATCAGAAATCAAGGAATGAGACCGGTTCGGTACGTCAACCCCTTCTTGGTGGCTTTGAAAGGAAAACACACACACATCATGTTGGAGGGAGCCGTAAAAAAGACACACCCAGTTTTTTTTGAGAACCCGACACCCTGTCCACATTTCCAAGTTGTAACACCTTGCAGACTGGCTTAGTGTTCGTGCCCGGGGGGGTACTGCAGGCGTAAAAGCACGGCGCTTTTTGGCACGCCGACCCCGAAAGCTGTTAATCTTGTGTCCATGTTGTGGTCCCAAGGCTACCCCTTGAGGGGCTGGCTTCCAAAGAAAACCTAAAGGTTTGGAACAAAAGCAAAAAACACATTCTGGGATGAGAACCTAATTGGACTTTTCCAATCTGCCTTCCTAACAGGAGCTTGCGCACTTCTTCTGGTCCAGGTGGGATGCAGGCTCAATGGAAACCCAAAACTATCAAGCGATCTCACGGCGACTCGGCTTCAAAGATCAGTACCGATGCTTGGACAGCCGAGACTGGCATTTCTTTCGAGAAAAAATGCAATGGGCAATCAATCGCTAGCATATTTCCAAAGGTTTTTGGAGCTTGACAACTCTTTCGCATCCCACCGAAATGAATTGGATATGCAACATGGTAGAGGTCGTGCCGGTGCTGGTGCTGGTGCTGGTGAGCAAAATACAGCTTCCTTGCTACTCTTTTGTGCTCTTCAAAAGGGCAGGTGTCCAAGGATCCGCATGGGCTTATATCAGCATCATGTTTTCCCACCTAAGGGGGGAGGGGGCAATTCCATTTCTCTTGCATTCCCTATAAAAAGGGAACATGGAACCATAAATGGAGATCTCCAGAACCCCCCCCCCCCGGTCCCCAATTCCATTAAGGGCCTAGAGATTTTCTGAGACTCGGTATATAACGGTTAAACAGCTCCCCGTCGGCCTCTCATTCTCCAGGGTGATGGAGGACAAGTACCAGGACATATCAATGGTCCAAGTGGACGGCAATGTCTGAACACGCCTCAGCGCCGTGGCAGGATAAGCTCCTTTACTTGCCCCCGGCCGGCTTTCTCGACGGGAAATACATGACCGTCACACTCATCTGCCATATCGCTAGCGATCCACGCTCACACACTGGTCGACCGCGTAGCGGCGTAGCGGCAAGAAACATGAGTGACCAAAACTGCGGCATGGCAGACATCTCCTTCAGGGCTACTGCCAAATGCTCGTGTTCCATTGGGACATGCAGTGTGTACAGCCAACTTTGGGATCCGAGCCCGAGCTGAGGTTCAGCTGGATATGGCACTGTCCAACCCTTCGTAGCAATGAACAGAAGCAACACACAAGAAACCAAAAAAAACCATACAAACAAACAAACAAAACACACAACAAAAAAGCAAACAAGAAAACCTCAAGACATGCCAGTAAAGCCGATAAATCCTGTTAAACTGAACAATACAGCCGAGCTACACCACGATTTTCCCTGGCTGAAAGCATCGAAGGACTTACGCGGCCAAGGTGCATCCTGGGAATGGACTCATCGTTCACCTCGGAAGCTTTGTCTTCGGGACCCCTACAAAAGGGACTTTGGTGCATGGCGGGCGCCTTTTAGAGGGGCCCAAAAAAAGACCAAGCGAACCAACGATGCGGACAAGTTGAAGATCTCTCATTCAGCAGTTCTGTGGGACACTTGAGAAAGCACCTCAAGAGACACGTGCAAGTGATGGTCAACATGTTGACGTTCGCCCATCAAACTTAGGGCTCGAGCCACATCGAATAAACAACATAATATATATATATATAGCAATATTATGGGTGCGTGCCGGATTTTGCTTGCCTGGTGGCCAGGACGAAGCAAATCCCCTTCTTCTCTGTTGAATTCAAAGGCAATCCAATCCCATCCATAGATCCTCCGCTTTGTTGGTTCAATTTCAATCAAGGCCAACCCCCCGTCCGAAACGAGTGGCTGCCATGCGCAAAACTGAGCTGATGTCCGTTGTTTGCATTCAAACGCAACCACCGCCAAGGCAACAAGGGTGAGACCGAGTCGGCGAACATCATCTGCTAGTTGCATTTAATCCTCTCTGAACATGTTCCGCTAGTTGCATTGAATCCTCCCCCGAATGGAGCATTCAAATCAATGTAGGTAGGTTGCTTCTATCCGAGAGTTTGTTGTATTGCTCGTGTCACTAGATGAAACGGACTCTCCGGGTGGGGCCCCGGTATATTTCCCTTTTAAACATAATCCCCAAAAGGAAAATCAGCGGCCCAAAAGGTGATGTTCAAAACCACTGAAACCGGAATCGTGAGAAACCAGCAGGAAACCAATCATTTTGGGAGTCCCTCTACTCACTTTCTGCGTGGGCCGGCCAAAAACAAGCCCGCTTTTTTACCCCTAAATTGATCTTCCCAACAGTTCAAAGTCCATGAACTCAATTTGAGAGAGCCTATTTTGAGTCACACACCCACGTTTTATCGGACTCCTAAAAACGACCCCTCCGACCCGGATTTGTTTTCGAGCGGCCGATCCGGCGCACCAAAAGCGGAGGGTCTCGGTGCTGGGGCACCAGGTGACTCGCTCGCTGAACTGCAGGACCTTGGCGCAAAAATATCCGTCCGCGAATCCCACGGTGGCCCGTGCAAACCAACCGATTTTTACTTTGATGTGCTTATGTGCAACCAAACAGTCTGACGCGTTTTGTGTTGTATTGACAGCGCAACCAAGCCATTGTTTAGATGTGTTTAATTACGTGGAACCAAGCGAAAAGTGATGTGTTCAATGAATCACCTCATTGGACAAAAGGGGAGGGGGAAAGGATTTTGGTCAATTCTCTCAGGCTGCAGCGATGCGCAGGTCAGCGCCGGAGCTGTAGGAACCTGGCGCGGACAGGTCCAAAGGTCGAGGAAAAGGGGTGGCACTTCTTCGAGGATTCGGACCCCCAAAGGGATTTTGAGTCTACTTTTTGTTTGTTTTTAGCCTGAAAACGGGGGTTTCAACTCAAAAGACAGACCCAAGAATTCCCGGGGGAAATTCTCTGGGCAGGGAAATCAACTCATCTGCCGAGTTGATTGATCTGGGATCGACCATAAAGTACATGTTTGGGGTCGGGTTTCCGAAAAGTGGTCGCTCCATGGTTTCGAAAAAGTGTGAAAGTCCGGACTTGCCCTATAGGAAATGGAATTCTAAGCACGGTAAAGTTGATATTTCCCACCCCCCCGCAATCACAGGATTTGGGCGGCCAGTCTGGGGAAAAATGAAGCTGTTTGGCGCTGCTCGTGCCCAAGACCCTGGTAGATCCTTTGATGTGGGCGCGCCTTGAAACTTGGGCCTTCAAAACGACGAACAGCAATCGCACCTGACGTGACTTTGGACCTGAATAGGGATCTCATGCAGTGTGCGAGGTCATCGCTATGTCAAATGGCTCCGTCCCAAATGGGCCATGCGTTGAAAGAATCGGTGCTTGGACCTTACCAAGTAACGGGCGTGTCTGAAAATATGGGAAACTACTTTCTTTTCAATTGGTTCTTACATGCACATCAAAAGAACAACACCCAAACAGGGCCCCTAATGGTGCGAGAAGCCTGAACAAAACCCAATGTAACTCTCAAACAAATGATTCAAAATCCTGCACCAGTTGGTAGGGTGCTTTATTTTGCGAGGTGCTGGAAAGATCGTGAGTCCCCTGTGTTTTTCTGGGTCCATCCAAATGTGCCTACAAAATTGACCAAACACGCAGGTCTGGACTTGCAGCCAAGAATGGAAGAGCAGCAAAGGAACCTTGTTTGGGGAGGTTGGGGGCCCCTCATTTTTCGGTTGAAACTTGCATTTTTTTTTCAAAGAACAACCCAAACTGAGGGAAACACATTGCAACCCTTGGTATGGGCTGGCTGGCCCATAAAACTGACTGTTTTTTGCAGCCCCCTACTAAAAAGTGAGCAGAACCAAACACAACAAAAACAAACAGCTTGATCCAAGAACAGTGAAGAAAAATATGCCCAGGTGGAAGCCACAGCAGCAACTTGGTAACCTGGAGCCGCTCACCGCTCCCGGTCGCCTATTTAGGCGGCAAAGCTTTCAGCGGAACAAAAACCCACACCCCTTGGGCTTCTCAAAATGGCGTACCCGTTTTGGTTGGTATTTCAAACGAAGCCAACAGGAAACCGTTGCCAATTTAGGGACCGCAGTTTTTGAGAAGCAGCCATTTGACCTTAGGTCACAAGCATTGATCATGCCTTTAGTCACTAGCGTGGGAGAAAACAGGAACCTCTACTGTGGATGGACGAAATCCTGCACCACCCAAGAAAGCCTGGAATGATGATTCCCCTGCAAATTCCACAAACAATGTCTTCAACCATGGTTTCATTTCGTGGTGCAAAGAGATTTCGTCCGTCCACAGTAGTGAGGGGGGGGGCCTTGGGTCACGTCGCTGTTGTGGGGGAAAACAGGAACCTTTATGACAACCATTGGAGGTCTGGGTGCCTTAAACAAAATTCACCCGCCTCCGTTGGCCGGGCTATACGCCACCACTCGCGGGGGGTCTACGTCGCAGCCCACTTGCGTGGGGCACGCGCTGCACCTGTTAGCGTGGGGTCTCCACACGGGGCCCTGGGGGGACGAAGCGGGGTGGTTGTTGAGGGTACCCTTTGTTTCAAGCACATAATAAGGGAACAATTTCATTATTAGTACTATTGTTTAAAGCATGTTTTTGACTGTCAATGTCATTGCAAATTATTATGATTGTTACAGTGCGTTTTTTTGCATGAGGGGGGGGGGGGTTGGCAAGGGCCACATTTGGGGACCCTTGGAAAACTGTTCAAACAAAAAGCATATGCAAGGCTTCCCGTTGTCTTTTTCGGTTGGTACCCTTTTTTGGATTGGTTTAATTTAGAAGGTGGGTAAGTTGGTTCAGACAGAAAGCAAAAGGAAAGACACAATTATGTTGGTGTGCTGCCCCCACTTTGACACATGATAAGCTGCTAGTGTGTCGTTCAACAGGACCCCCCGCCCCCCCAAACCAATTTGATGCACACACCCCAATTTAATTCAAGGCGATGTCATGATACGATCAAGTGTATGTTCTGATGAGTGCTTGATAAGCTGGACTGTTCTTGGGTTGACATTGAAAGACCCTTACAGGCACTAGGGCACCCTGTAGCATGCTCCTCCTTCTGAACGACAAATAACAAGCACGTGTCCAAACAGTCCACATTCTCCAAATGTTGCATTGACACAATTCCCGCATCTATCATCGCCCAGATATTCCTTGATGGGTGAGGATGCATCAAGGGTTGGAATCTGAAGGGAGGCCCTTGGTTTGGCTGTCAGGTTCTTCTGAAACTTGCTGGCCTTAGCAGGGGTTCAAGCAACATGTTGGCAATGCACCTGACCCCCTTGGCCCAGGGTTACATCAAACATCATATGAGATTCTGCTTCACATTCTGTCTGCATCCAGTCAAGCCATAGGGCCTAGACAAAAATACACGTGTTTTTGTTTTGGAATCCTTTTGGCCCATCCAAACGCTTGGCATCCCTTGGAACCGCATTTAAATCTATGATGTATGTAGCACCCAACAGAGCCGTTGGTGGCCCGTCTTAAGGGCAAAAGACACAAAACACAATATTTGATTGGAAGGGGTCCCGTGATTTAAAACACACCCATTTAGCCAAAATTTCGAACATAGTTTGGAGGCGACCCCAATAGCAAACCACCAGTAGGATGGTGCATAGGTTCATTCCCTCATTTCCCACGTTGGGGCATGGGGAAAGACCAAGGCACTCCTGGTCTCTCCTCCAAAACTAGCTTGTACTTCAGGTAGAAAAAAAAAAATCAGAATCCCAAACAATTTCGGTGGACCACAGGTTTGGCTGGAACTGTCTAGGTGCGCACAGGATTTTGACCACACTGCGGGGGGTGGTTTGTAAGGTCATGGCCATGGCCAAATGTCTCTCCTTTCATCATCCCCTTAAAGTGGTCTGCCAAACTATATGTCGACCGTTACGCCAAAAAACACAATGTTTGATTCTGGTCCGGATGGACAACATCCATGCCACGCACCAGCTGAGATTGGTGGTTTATCAACCATCTAAGACGGTTTCTTCTGTCCCAAGTGCGAAATGGGCATGGGTCAAAATTAAACCACCAGGGGACCGCAGGTTTTAGTCCCTGCTTCTATGTACCAGGGTTCCATCTTAGCTACCAAGATTTGACCCACAACCAAATGGATTTCGTCCACAGTTTTGTGTATGGCAATAAGTAACAATCAGTTAGTATACCCAACCAATAGGTACGGTTAGCACACATTTACTGATTTTCCATGAAATGGGTAGGACGCAATTGATTGGGGTTTCATGTGCTAACTGGTTCTCTCATGCCTAAATCTACCACACATACACCTACCGATTTTGGCTTCGACGATAACCCCGTTCCCTCAGTCTGTGACATGACTCTCCCACCCACCAACCAACCAACCAGCCAACCAGCCAACCAGCCAGGCTAGCCAGTCAATTGGACTTGCTGGGTGGCTGCTTGTCCCATGGGAGTTTACTGGACCCTGCCAGGGTCCCCAAAACAGAGAAGTCCCCCCCTCCCCACGTGGTCGCTTTTTTGGGCTCGGTGCCGTCCGTCGCGGTGCGTGGCCGAGCCGCGGCGTGGCCGCGAAGGAGTCCACACAGGCAGTCGAATCCCAGGCGCAGCCGGTCGCAGAAGCGCAGCTGCAGGCTGAAAGGATGTCCGCGCAACTGGAGGTCTTGCACTTCCTCGGCTCGAACTTAGACAAATGTCGGGTAAAATGGGTCCCTGGACCCTCAAACTACCCCCTTAAAAAAAATGCGAACCCACCCCAGGAGTTCGCCGCTTCGAAGGATTTGTTTGGAGGGTCCAGGTTGGGACAGCAGAATTGGACCCTCAAAATGCCAACTTGAAAATGGGTTGCCCCAAAATTATGGGGTGGAGTCCCTTTGTTATGGGTAGGTAAAATCTGGGCTTGCCAAACTGATCCCCTGCCAAACGCAAAAAACTGGTGGGTTAAATGGAAATTTCCAACCACTGAACCCTAGAAAACCCGAAAACCTAAACTAAGGGCATGGCTGGAGCAAGAAGCGGGAATGATTTTTTTGCTTCGCGGCCCTGTGGACCTCAAGGTTGGGACTTTTGGGCCTGCCAGCCACTCTTCGGGGGGTTCCAACAGCCCGGCACCCCTGTCTCACAAAGCGAAAGACCTATGAGTTATCACTCCAATGGGGTGTGGCATCGGGAAAAATGGGCCCAGTTTTCTCGAACAAGTTGAAAACCACCTTGAGCCCAAACCCTTCCCCCCGCACATAGGCTGAAAGGAAACTTCCCTCCAACACTCCCTCAGCCTCTTACAAAGTCTTACTCAGCTTGCGGCTCAGTTCCGCAGTGGATCCCGGGTACCTCTCATTGGTTTGGATTGGTGGTTTGGAGGATACAGGGGTGGTTTTCCATCTCTGCAAAGGCCAGGGTTCACCACCAACCTTTCAGGGTCAACCTGATCTATACTTACCCCTTAAAACTCCCTGCGCCCTGGGGAAGTTCATCTTTTACAGACATATAGCCCATGTTGCCCCCAAAAAGTTGAGAAAAGTTGTGTTTTTTAAGAGGTAAGTATAGCAGGCCACCAGCCTTGGCCACCAGCCTTCGGCGCTTTTCCGAGAAATCCCTCGGCCAAGACGCTCCTGCTGGTCGCACAGCCCGCACTCGATCTCGCTGGGCTCGTGGGCGTTCTGACCTCACAGGTCCCTCAAATCCCCTGCTAAAAGATTTTGTTTTTTATAATTGTTATTATTATGATTACTAATATTATTATTATTATTAAACAAAAACAACTTTTAGTGGGTTAAATGGAAACCAACAAACCAACTGAAAAGAGCTAAAAAGAAAGCGGAACCGAATGGCTGGGAGCCACCAAGATTTGGGCTTACAGTGAAAGGATTGAACGTCTACATTGGCGTTTCCTTACTTTTCTGCAACATGGCCGAAAGAAAGCGGATCACACCGGACCCTCAAACTACACATTTAAACAAATATATAACAAAATGCGGGAATGTTGAGGGTCCAGGTGGATCACTCGGGTTCGAATCCGCTTCGAAGTTCTGTTTCCAGCGAGTCACAAAGCCCGCCGCCGCCCGAGAAGGCGAGCCAGCGGCAGATGGCTCCGGCCGCGCACTCGCAGGCGTCCGTCGCGACGACGCAGGGGTCTGTGGTAGAGGTGACCGTGACCACCGTGGAGGTGGAGGTGAACGTCGTCGCCTGCGAATCTCGGATTTGAAAGACCATGCCGCGAAGGCTAAGGCAAGCAGCGACCGAAAGATAGAAAGAACATCTGGGGTCCTTGTGGTTGTTCGAATTGAAAAAGGCGGACCGAAAGGGGGCTTGCGGCTTACACAAATAAGTAGCACACGAATTCGAATCTGAACGTAGGGTTCTAACAACATCTTACCATCCCAAGCAAACCATGCAGTAGACCGACAGCTACATGGAGAACAGAAGTTTTCGGGGCTGAAAATGGAATGGGCGTCCAAACAAAACGAGCGCTTCACTTTGCTTTTGTTGTTTTCTTTCATCCAAAAGGGTCATCTTAGGAAACCACCAGAAAGGCTTTGACCGCCGGGACCATAGTCCGGCATCAATCAAAGCGTTTTCAAGCCCGGAATCGTGGGCAGCTTCCTTTTTGCTTCCCCACCATCCAAAGGGCCCCGATTTGTTTTGCGAAACAACCGGCCAAGGAGGGTTTCATGAGGTCAAGCATAGAGAAGAAACACCCGCTTGCCAGAAACATTGGCAACTGAAGAAAACAGGGAGTCACGATTGACTGTCTGTCCACAAGCTCATGTGCCCTCAAAACCTCTGAACACTCCTAGAACAGACTTGTCATCTACAACTGCTTGCGTTGATCCAACGTTTCTGCCCAATATCTGGGTATGTATGAGTTTCCCAAACAAACTGACTTCTGGACAATGAGGAAAACGTGCAGCTAAAAGCCCCAAGAAGATACCACCTCAAACAGCTCCGAGAGCCATACGCAATTTTGGATGAGTCGAGCAGGACTAGAGCTTCGATACAGGGGATGGTTGCGCAATCCATTTCGCACCACGAAATGAAACCATGGTTGAAAAACCATTAGGCGTTTGGTATTTGTAGGGGAATCCACCAATTCAAGGCTTTCTTGAGTGCTGCGAAAGCCCGTCTTTCTATGGCTCACACTTGGCGAGAATTAGGACCCCAGCAAAAAGCCAGATATTTGTTTGCCTGGGTCGCGGAAAACAACGGGGACCTCAACAAGCAAACACAATGAAAAATGGGAACTAACATAGGTGTCCTTTTAGGGGAAATAGATGGCGCTGGTAGATGATTAAACAGACTGGTAGACTATAGGGCCATCTGTTTTTCTACCAAACAACCAACAAGGACACACTGGCTGAGTGGATGGCCCACAAACAGTCCAAACTTCTTGTTCGCCACTAAAATGGTCTTCCTGAATTTAGGAAGCTTCCAAACAACCAAAAGGGACACCTAGGAGAACGAATTCTGGTGCCGAGGCTCCTGACTGCGCGCCACCAGCAAAAGCCACCATCTCCGCATGCGTTTCTCATGGCCCATCCGCGGGCCGGTGCATCAGGCCGCACGTAGACACAGCGCCTTTCGAGCCCCCGGCCGTCTGAGTTCCCAAGCTGCGGACGTTGCCCCCGAGGTGACTGCTGCCGCCGGCCGTGGAATTCTGAAAAAAAAGGCGCACGTGCAGGTGAAGAGGGAATTGGTCGGTATGCATACTTATTCCAACACAGGTATCATATGAATCTAATATGAATGTACATAATTACATGTTTGCATCCATTGACATGGTCGTGTGCAGGCATAGGGCACAGAGAAGCCGCCAAAAAACCACATCAACATAGACGCTTGTCGTTCGAGTTGTCCCACTACAATCAGCTCAGCACAAGCATTATCCACAGCCTTCTCCTGTTTTGCGTAAAAGCAGCATCAGACACGTTAAAGCAACACAACAATATACGAGGAGCGAGCCAAAGATCTGTCGTAAAATGAAGGGCATCCAAAATAGATGAACTGCCAAAAAGGGAGCGCTGCCTTCAAACGGGGGGTGGGTGAAGCTCAAACTAGGATTCCCCCGAAATGGTTGGTTCGCGTTTAGGTTCCCTTTGAAAACCAACCAAACTGGGGTCTGAATCCCATTTTGAGAGACTCCCGTATCAAAGGCTTGATTCCCCACTCTCTTCACCCACTCGGGTGGGGTCCACTTGTTGAGTCCACAAAGATCTGATATGAATTAGCGATAGTCCCTTTGGCCCGTTGGGTCGAACATGGGTATCTGTCAAAATGAGTTTTTCCCAGATGGCTTCCCTTTGGCATTCACTTGAAACGAACCCAAAACCATCTCCTCGAACAAAAAAAAAAAAGGAAAAAAACACGGAGCAAATTCGGCTAATAAGCCTTCACTGATACCAAACTTGGCCGTCCCTATAACGAGCTAGTCGCACGGAAAATACACCTTGCCACCCTATTCCCCCACAGCCACGGGTCTGTCTGTTTTTGGGGAGTAAAAACCCACTTTGCTGGGACACCAGAAAAGGGAAACAGCTGCCATTGCAGGGGGTCCCCAATTTGAGAGCATTTCGGCTCAGTGGCCATAGCGGCTGCATCATTCTATCACATTTGTGGTGTGATGCGTTTCTTGTCGCTTTCCATAGAGAAGTGACTTCCACCCTTGCACAAAAAAAAAATCATGATAGAGATGCTTGCATCTTCGAGGATAGCAAGCCAGGGACACACACAGAAGAACGACAAACTACTCATGGTAACATCTAATCATCTAACCCTTTCGTAGGAAATCAACTGCTTTCTCTGGAAAGCCACCACAATCAGGTGCCCTAAAACAAAACACTTGAGATGTCCACTGGACAATGCAAAAGTTTCCCGTAAACCAGGCGACTCCGATCCGCCGAAGACCTCTACTGCAAAGGACCTGGGCAGTAAGACTAGGCTACATTGCACTTGGGAACATCACCTCTCTGCCCTTGCGCGCCATGCTGTACGCCACACACCCAGAAAGCTGTGTGCAAGGAAAAGCTCCTAGTCGCCATGGTCGCGATCCATTACACAAAATCTGAACAATCTGAGTGCGCTGCGGCAACGGATATCATGGGTTGCTTGCCCTTCTTAACATAAGTGTCTTTTTAGGGGAAATAGAGGGCCCTGGTAGATGAGTAAACCACCTGGTAAACCAGGGCCATCTATTTTTGTGCCAAAACAACCAAAATGGACACCTATGCTTCTTAACCGTGCCCAGGCAAAAGTTGGTGCTTTTCACCGCGGCACACGCGTCGTTAAATCTGGGCAGAAAATTTAGCGGAGAGACGAGCGGAATTTTCCGGCCTCTCAAGCAATCAGAATATCTGCATTCCAGTGCAAGCCAAGAATACAGACATGCATGCATACACTATACGTATAATGTGTGTATGTATATATACACATACATGTAGGCAAACTACTCGTGCGTAAATGCAAAACGGCTATAATTTGTTGCATAATTATGATGGGTGTCTCCAAATAGGGGAACCCCTAATTTGCGTAGCTGGGTTGGGGTTGGCTTCCCTTTAATCCCAAGAGGATAGCCTCAAAAAGACATGCTCATGTGTCTCTCATTTGCCTGGAATGCACTGCAAACTATCGCTGATCATATCAAACGGGTTGTCCTCCATAGCAGTGGACGATGGAACCGCGTTCGGACCAACTCGCAAATGTCCGAACGGCCCAAACAGGTTAACGATTTGCAGTGGAGAAGACAACCCAAGTCATATCATTCGATGGGTTCTCTCAATGAACCGCGTATGTACATTCCATGAGCATCGCCGCCGCGAGACGCCCCTTGCCCGTGCAAAAGCCTAAGGGCAACCGGCTGAAGCGTCCGCCTGTTGATAAGGGAAGCCACTTCCATGTGAGCATAAACTTTGATTGGGACCCTTAGTGCTTGCGGTACCAACATATTTACAAGTCAGGACGAGTCCCCTCAAACCAATTCTTGCCCAATCCATTTGCATAAGCAGCATCCAAACATATGTTCCAGTCAGAAGTCTTTCCATCTGGAAACTGTGAGAAAGCAACTGGTTGCGGGTTCAACGCAAATGTCCTGCTATGTTTGCAGGTGCAAAGGAGAATCAAACCGAAGGAACTCATAAGGCTCGAATCATTGGTGCCTATCACAGCAAAGGAACCTATTTGCCAAGTGACTTTTCCAGAATAACTTAGAATGGGGTCATGTACTTGAACACCAAGTCGAGTCATGATCCTGGCAACAAGACATTTTATCCATCCACTCAGGTTCTGCCAAGTCTGATTCAACTACATCATGACAGCTGGGCTGTCCTCAGTTCTCCTGCTGAAGGTTTAATTTTTAGCGGGGTTAAATGAAAACCGCCACTAGATACACTAAGGGAATGGCTGGGAGAGACCAGGACATGCGGGAATTCCTTGTCGATGTTTCAGATGCCGCGGGCCCATCACAGGACAATAGCGGAATGACCCCGAAATTGACCCATCCAACTGGGGGTTTACTTTACTGCAAAGGGATCCGCAAGTTCGGTCCCCATTTTCTTGGTTCACTGAGAACTGGAAGGAGGCTTTGGTGGATGCTGAACGGGAAAACAACAGGGACCATGGATTTGAATGGGCTCTGTTTTGGCCAACACCCAGAAAAACAGCTTCCATCTGGTTCCCGGCGACCTGTTTCTATTGGAAATACTCTTTGATCGGGAAGGATGGACGGGGCTTGGAGGACTTGCCAAAAGCCCTCATCACCTTACTCCACACTGTGTGTGAACCATGCAAAAACACGGTTTGCCGTTATTTACAGGGGAATCATCATTCCACTGCTTATAAGGTGATGTAGGAATTTGCTCATCCACTGTATTGGTGTGGATTGGTGCTTTGGAGGTTAGAGGGTGAGAGGGGTGGGTCCATTTACCTTCTACATACGAAACGCGGTGTCCTATTCAATATTTTTGCCAAGGGCGTGCCCCCATGTGGGCAAACGATACGTACGGCCCTCGGGGTCGGGCCCTGAGTCTGCGAAAGCGAGCTGCTCACATATCGCAGTTCACCTGCCACAGAGTGGATGCGAGCCACGGGGCGTTTTTTCATCCACTTTCTCTCAAAACGCGTCATACCAAACTTTCGGTGGCCGGGTTCTGAAAACATGGAGTCCTAAAAATATAGTTCTTCATTAGAGGGAAAGCCAACAATCTGCACTGGATGTCTCACGAGGGCTGATTAATGATGGAGGATCAAGTTGTCCCGCCGTCCCTGCTGGACCCTGTGATGGGCGTGGCTCAAAATTTCAGAGCAAGGGCTACGCAGGTTTTGGACTTTGTTTCCATTTACCTAGGGGCCATTCTGGGTACTTTTTGTTAGCCACAGCCAGTTGGCTGGTGCTTGAACACCTACAGTTTCGTCATTTTTTGTGGTTGGTGGTAAACATGGCCGTCCCTTCCACCCAAAGCCAAGGGACGTTCATGGCTTTGCACGTCGAAGGGCCAGCACTTGAGCTAAGCCCAGTGATCCTCGGTGTTGTCTCCCTAAACAAACCCCAGAAGGCGCACCAACTCCAAAAACGACTCCCGAAAACATATTTACATAATATTTACATATTTACATATTTACAAACCAAAAGGCGCACCAACTCCAAAAACGACTCAACGGAAAACATAGTTACATAATATTTATACATATTTACATCTTTACAAACCAAAAGGCGCACCAACTCCAAAAACGACTCAACGGAAAACATAGTTACATATGACAAAATGCCCTGGATTGCTGCGGATCCTGCAACAAAAAGCCGTGGATCGCTCAAAGAAAGCCACCCAGTTTCCCGAGGAAGAAGGGCCCTGTGGTCCCAACGCCTGTGTGCCTCTTGTCCCAGCCATGGTCCCAACTGGCCCCAATTGTAGGCAAATGATCCCCCTGTCAATTCAACACCCCTTACAAATAGCTAGCTCAGCTGGAATGTGTTGCAAGGAGAAACTCTATCTTAGAATAGAGAAACTCTTTGAAGTGCAAGCTCAGCTGGAAGGTGTTGGGAAAATCTTCAGGGGGCGATCGAAACCAGATGACCGAGGGGCTGGATGAACCCGTTGGGAACAAGCACTGAAACATGTCCAAATGCATTGCAGGAGCCCAGTATTTGCAGGAGCATCGAGTCATTCCAGGGTTTCTGAACTGCGGTGCGAAATGGATTTTGTACATTAACCATGTCCCAGAAGTGATAGCTCTTTGCCAAACTTGGATACCAGCCACCAGGCGCTTACCAAGAAACCAACGCATCCTTCGAGTGAAAAGGGCCTTGTTGGGCGGGCACCTGGACCCTCAGAATTCCCATAACAAGGGGTGATTGCCCCAAAATCATCGGGCCCAGATTCCCTTTATGGGAGTTTGATCAGACAGAAGCCAAAAGAAAAGGACACCACTCTTGGGTCCGGCTGTCTACAAAATCCCCAGCACAAAACGGTCGCCGGCAGTGCCACCACCCGGCAATAGGAGCCGGAAGTCGCCTGTCGCAAGCGAAAAGTTGGGATTTGCTCATATGACAAGCCGCCTTTGGTTTCATGTTTTGGACAGAACCCGAACTGCACAAACCGCATGCAACGCCTTCAAACCCAAAACTCGGTCCCGACAAGCCTCAAAATGGGGGGCATTGTTGAGCTGCAAAAGGAAAACTGGCGCAAATCCCGAGCTTCTTCAAGATCATGTCGCATGAAAAAGTTGGTTCACTAACAAATGAAACTGTGCTCAAACACGACCTTTGCCTGTTCGACTCACAGAAGCTGGATGGAATGTCTTCAGCGAACGCCATATTGTCAGTTTGTATCCAGGAAGACCCTCAAATAAGTGGTTTCTCGTTGGCGTCCCGTGTTAGTTTTAAAGGGAATTCCCCTTCCGGAGCAACAGTAACATCTACCATACATGTAGTCATGTAGTCAGTGACTCGGAGTTTGTCTCCCAGAAAAATCCTCATTTCATTTGCGAGTTTCCATTTGGTGTTCCTTCCCAGCGGCCCAACAACAAACTACCAAATCCAGTGGGAGGTGAGCCTATAAAACCCTATACCGGTTGAGAAACCATCTACCAACTACTGATGGACCAAATCCTGAACTTGGGATGTAAAGACTATGAAGCCCTATGATGGTTTTAAACCAACTATAAAGAACAAAGCTGGTGGTTCAACCAGCTACCAACCGAAAGTCGGAACCCAAGGGAAGCCATCCCGCGGTTTTCGGCGGCCTCGGCAAAGGCCTCGTTGATCTGGGCCAGGGAGTAGCCTCGTGAGAGGGAGTGGCTGGAAGCGACGAAGCCGGGATTCGTGTTTCTCACTTCCGATGTGGGGCCGTGAGAAAAGTAGCCAAACCTGTTCTGGAAGCCACTCAAATGGTCCAAGCAACCAAAAAGTGACCAAAGTCCATGAGCCCGAGTGAGGTCTTGGGTAGGCTTACACCCTGCAAACACAGGGGGGAAAAGGAAGCAACTCAACGGAGGTCTGGGGCAGACGGTTTTTGTGTTTTTGGAGGAAAAGTCAAACACCAAAAAACAAACAAACCACCGCTTTCCCTTCCTTTTTTTCACCCCAAAATCTACCAACCGGTCGGAACAGGCTTCCCCGATCGGGGGGATTTCTCGAAATGGTGGACTGTTTGTGGTTGGCAGTCAAAGGGAAAGCAAAAATAAGCCCTTGCCATTTCAGGAGACCTATGTCCAATCTAAACGCCAAGGAAACGCATTTCAAGTTGGCACCCAAAATGTGGTGACTGAAACCACGCTTTAAGGGAAATATAGGGATCCTTGGAAGGGGCAAGGGGGAGGGATGACATGTGTCTGCCTGTGTTTCTAGTTTGGGAATTTTTGCCAATGTTGCCAATTGTGCAGATGGGTTGCCCCGAAAACGGGCGTCCTCCGGAGGTAGTGTGTCGCAGGACATCCAGCCAAACAAGCAAACAAACAAACAAGCAACAAAAACAAACTGTCTCTTGCAGTCTACAGTGATGCTTCAAATGGTTGCGAAATGGGCGTCTCTCAAAACAGGGGACCTTTGAAATTGTGCTGTGTCATTGGTTTCCCCTTACAACCGCAAACAAGGCGAGCCCTCAACAAAGGGATGTGGAAGCCTCCGCAAAGCCGATGCCAGAGCGAGGATCACCTTATGTTTTGTTGACGCGTCTCATTTGGTCAAAGTACGAGTGGGTCGGTTTCCCTTCACAACCCTTGGTATGGTAGCAAAAAGCTGTGTTGTTTTTGCAATCTCCTACTAAACATGAACAGAGCTAACAAACAACACACAAAACACTTCAAGTTGTCAAGAACATTGAAGTTTCCTTTTGAGTGTCCATTCACCCGACGCCAAAAAGGGGTACCCTAAAACACATGCGCACACACCATTTATCAGGGAATCCGCACACTTTTGGGAAACACCCCGCAACATGCGGTTCCGCAACTCCAGAGTCCAGGTATATTGTCAAATTCCATCTCACCGTCATGATTCACTTCACAGGAATCCTTCGCATGGTGCTACCTAATTCCAAGGGTTTGATGACTATCCATACCAAGCCCAGGTAAAGAAACAGGTCCAAAAGCAGCATAACACATGTGCTTCTCTCATGGGGGGACTCTCAACATGGCGAGTGTCCCTTTTGTTCCCATTTGAACCCTCCCCAAAAAGAGGAACCTCAAGAAAAATGATAAGTGTCTATTTCACATTTCGAAAACTGTATATAAAGTGTTGGAGTCGCCTTGACGATGGCATCTGCTTTGATAGATGTGCCCGGGGATGAGAAGCCGAGAACAAGCTGGCTGGGCTGTCCACAATGGAGGCTTGGCCAGTCCTGAAACCCCCTCAAAAGAGGGGGGAAGGAAACCAAACCCATAATCCCTAGAAGGAAACTACACAGCCGGAAGGACGCCCAGAAGGAAGCCTTCGACCACATGCAAAGCCAACTTTTTCTTGGGACCTTGCGGGCCCAACAGAAAGATTCCTCAATCCAAGCAGCTCTTCGGCGATAGCACAGAGTCTAAAGGCAATTCCTCGCGGAACTCGTCCAAGAACTTCACCTAAGGCCGATTCGAAGGTGTGGATGGAGAGGCAAAGTCAACACGCACCAGTTAGGATACCTGGACCCTCAAACTACCCATAAAAAGCGGGAATTCACCCCCGAATTTTGGGGCAATCACAATAATTTGAGGGTTCAGGTAGATGAAACCCGATTTAAATTCTGGTCGAAAAACCACCGATTGGTGCGAACTAGACTTTCTACCCATCTACAATATCTCACTTACCACCTGGCTACGAGTTTTGAGAGTTGGACCACCTCAACTTGTCAACAGTGGTTGACATGTTCGTCCCCACCTTAATTATGTCCTCCGAAAGGGTCGCCATTAAAATTCGCACACCTCACGTTCGGTTGCCTGCACTATTTGCGGGGGATACCCACTTTGAGGGGTCGCCTTTTCAAGAATTGTCGCATATATTTGGGTGCTACCTAGTTCAATCTTACCCAGTGAGTCAACTTCCAAAATTCGGAGTGGGGGTTCCCCTGACAAACCAGAAGAACACCCGCAAACAAAGACAAGAATCAAAACAGCGGAAATATGCCAGGAGTACAGTTTCCACCGGCCAAGACAAATAACCTTGGAGGGTGTTCCAGCCTCGCTAAGGGTGCAACTATCCAAGGAGGTGCTAGCCTTTTGAACCCCTCAGGAATGCTCCAAAGATGCGATTGGCACAAGCTTAGACCAGAACCTGCGACGTAAAAAACAAACGGGAGGTTCTCACAAAGGGTTTTTTTGTTGCCATGGCACGACAAATGAAACTCGATAGATAAGCAAATAAACTATACGTACCAGGCGTGAAATGCGGGTGTCTTTTCTTTAGGGGCCCCCATCGCCCCCGAAGAATAATAACAAATGGTGGAGTCCCTTTCGATTTCCTTTTCAAACCCCCACAAATGGACGGAACTCTTTCCAAACCAAAATGAGACTTCGCTCCAAGCGCAAGAGACAAACCCAGCCGAAGGGACACTAAGAGGCAACCGACGCCTTTTCGGGAGGTACAACCTGAGAAAAGACACAGCCAGTTTCGCCCCTAAAAACCACGGGGGCAGATCCTCTTTCCAAACCGCTCAGCCTTTCCAGGCTGAGGGAACCAAGGGGACACCCTCGAATTGCGTCCGACCGTAACACACAATAAAACCCAAGCGGAGAAGCAACACACGAGTGGTGTTATGCTGTCAAACATGGCAACCCTTGTGCGCCCCCGTCCTCAAGACACAAAGCGCTACATGTCACCTGCAAAAACATGTCCCACTAGGCGTCGTTACCCTATGTTTTCCAACCCAGTGGCTTGCCCATCTATGTCGAATCAAACGACTACATAAAAAGGACACCTACTGTGGATGGACAAAATCCATTTCGCACCTAAAACACCCTGATGTCTGATGCTCTTCCAACTGACATACCAGCCAACCTTACGGATTCCACCCATGGTTCCTTGTTGCCGACGCCCCCATGAGACTCGCTTGCGGCGAGTGCCGCAAAGATCGCCGGAGCCGAGCGGCAGCCTCCTCCAAGTTCCAGGGCGTGTAGTTGTGCACCCCACGGATGGTGAGGCACTGCCCGAGAACCGAATCGCGGAGAACCACTCGCGTGAAAAAAAAAAAAAACAAAAAAAACGATGAGCCGCTGCTTTGCTGTTTCGCTCGAGGAGGTTTTCGAGCACCCGGAGCCGGGATTTGTTTGTATGGGCTAATAGGAAGTGATTCGCTACCAGAAAAAAAGAAGGTTGAAAAGAGAAACCAAAAGGAAACAACCATATTGGGGCTCCCCCAAAAGCAACAAACCCATTTCGTTGTTTATGTCAAACTCAGTTTCCCTCCAATTGGTGGTTTCGAACTGTTCCGGGGCCCGGTCTCTACAAGAGCCGGTTCGAATCCAAACCACCAATCAGGGAGGACCTGAAACCAGGCATCTCTGCTTAGAATTTTTAAAGGGTGGCTCCCTTGGATCCCTATGCGGGGAAATGCGTGCGTGTGCGTGTGAAAATAGGGACCCCCCAACAAAAAAGGTGCTCTTGGTTTACTTTCGCTTCAAGCCAAGTTGAAAAGGGTGGGTGCCTTAAAACACATACACACATGTGTGTCAGTCTGTCTGTCTGTATGCATGTATGCTTGTGTGTGCATGTATGTGTATGTGTATGTGTATGTGTATGTGCACGTGTATGTGTATGTGTATGTGTATGTGCATGTGTATGTGTATGTGTATGTGTATGTGTATGTGTATGTATGTTTGTTTGTATGTATGTTTGTATGTTTGTATGTAAGTATGTATGTATGTATGTACGTATGTATGTGTATGTGTATGTGTATGTGCATGTATATGTGCATGTGTATGTGTATGTGTATGTGTATCTGTACGTGCATGTGTGTGTAGGTGTATGCATACGCGTATGCATATGTGTAACATGTGTATGTTTATATGTATGTATACGTGTGTGTGTGTACGTATGTATGTATGCATGCATGCATGCATGTGTGTGTAGGTATTTAGGTTTGAAGGTATGAAGGTATGTATGTGTGTATGCGGAAGGCTTGTGCCCGAAACGCGCAATAAGTCAGCATTCCAATCGTGCTGCCTCTAACGGCAACAGAAAAGTTGTAAGTCATCAAGCCCAGCTGCAACTCTTTCACGCTTTCACAAAAGCTTCAGGAATGGCAGCCAACTCCACAAAGGTCCACGTGCTGGAAGCATTTGCTGTATTTTTTGCAAGTCAGAAGTCATCCAGGAGATGTACTTCTTCAGCCGCCCCTACTGTCCCTGCTCACCCGGGACAGTTTCGTGCATCTTCTGCTAGCGCCGAACTAGCGCGTCTTTAGCGTAAAAAATCTGGCTGGCAAAATCGGGCAACAGATGCAACAGGCAAGTAAAAGATCAGAAGTTCAGGAATTTCGCCCTCCGCATGCTTTTATGCCACTGCTGCCTTCACACGGGCAATGTGTTATTGCTGCTCACGCCTACGCGAGTGCCTACGCAAAGCCTCCTCGACTGCAAGAGGTGCCTACGCGCGCGTATTTGCGTCTTCCGTGCCTACGCGGATGCCTACGCAAGCTGCTTGCCCGCCGCGTTGCTACCTCGAGCTTTGTAACTGTGCCGAGTCATTCCTTGCCCGCTTGCGGCTTGTAAGTTGGTTAACTGTGGTATGCGACATGCACTTTGGCAGCTCCAGTTTCAAAATTGCAACTTTTCAATACAAGTGTAGTATACTCAAAGTGCATCAATTGGCAGCTGCAGGCTGGAACGGGAACGTAAAAATGAGTGACTCTGGACCACAATACGGCTGCATCAACTCTTGAGGGTGATTGTATGGAATTGTATGTAATTGTATTTACTTGTATGTGTTTGTATGTATTGATTGTGTATATGTATGTATGTATGTATGTATGTATGTATGTATGTATGTATGTATGTATGTATGTATGTATGTATGTATGTATGTATGTATGTATGTATGTATGTATGTATGTATGTATGTATGTATGTATGTATGTATGTATGTATGTATGTATGTATGTATGTATGTATGTATGTATGTATGTATGTATGTATGTACGTATGTAGTTATGTATGTATGTATGTATGTATGTATGTATGTATGTATGTATGCATCGATGTATGCGCGTATGCACGTAGGCAAGAATGTGCGTGCGTACATGCGTACGTACATGTACGTTAGGTATGTACGTATGTGTGTCAGGCGGCACTATCACTCACCAAAAGCTGGTGAAACAGAACATCAGCAATAATATGTGTGCTTTTGTAATTCTCTCCCGCCACTCTGTGGCATTGGCCTGGTACGTGCTCCGCCCATCACATGCATGGCATAAAAATAAAATGAGTTGACCAATCAGTTCCCTATGAAAGGACCCGTCGAGACGTCGCACACCCCCCTTTGCAATTTGTCCAGGTTAGAACAATCTTGTTACCTGCTGACAGTCCAGTTTCTTGATATCCATGTCGTGGGCAGCGGCCAGGTGCGTCCTCGGAATAACTAGTCACTCTAACACATCCCGTGGATAATTAAAATGGAACCCAGAAAAGAATCCCCAAAAGAAAATCCCTCCACGGGCGATTTGTTGGGTTCCATGTCATGACTCAAAGCCACCCCAACTCCACTCACTCCCAGCCCGAACCCCACTCCAACTCCAGCTCCAGCCACCACTCCAACCCCAACTCCATCCCAACTCCCCCTAACTCCCCCAACTCGGCGGGGGTTAGTTGATGTCAAAGGGAAGCACCTGCAAAGACAAGCTGAACAACGGGCACCATCAAAGGCCTGGGTTCCAGAACGAAAACCACGAAACCTGCATCCCGCAAAAAACATCGCTCCGCCCATGCCCCGGCTGGCGCGAGGGCCCCGGCCCCGGCCCCGCGCCTTTCTGATAATGGTCTCCCCCGTCAAGGAGGAGAGCTGAGAGTCGGGATGCACCTCACAGCTATCAACGCCCCTCGTTTTCTGGTTTGCAGCCTAGGTGGTTTGGAACCGAGCTAAATGGTTCCCAACTTCCAAGCCCATCCTTTAGTATTTTCCATATCTGCTCCATGTTTAGTTGAGGTCCCAAAGGGCGACCACCTTTGGTCCAGGTCCTGGCAGAGCTGTGTTCAGCTTCCCTTTGGAGCCCCGCGGTGTGGCGTGTGGATGGGAAACCCCATTCACCAAAAACCAACCCTTGCTATATTTGGAAAGCAACCACGTACTGACTGTTTTTTTTTGCAGCCTAAAGAATTAACAGGACCAAAAGCCGGAAAAAAAAGAAAAGAAAAACATGTCAACGACAGTGAAAATTCGCAAACGCTAAGAATGGGGACTTGTGATAGGTTTCCCTGTACCACACCAAAGGTTTCCACTGGTGAGATCGGGGGTTCTTGGATAGACTCCAACAAAAGAGCACCAGGGTCACGCAATTCGCTCTCAGACCCTTAATGACCTCCCTGGGCGCATCAACGTCGAACCGACAGCAACAGAGCTTTCTCAGCATCATCATTCATGTAGTAGCAGACAAGCAACAGCTCCAGCGCTGGAAGCACGTAATACAATCAAGTGTCGCAAAGCACCTGCGCAATACTAAGAAAAGAAAGGAACAAAAAGGGGGAAACAAAAACGCAAACACATCTATCATTTAATGTCCTTTCATCAACAAGTGAAGGATGTGGAGTAGGTCGGCGAACACGTGTCAAGAGCAAATCCCGTGCGTAAAGAAAAACAACAGAACAATTCGACCCTCGTGGGTAATTCGACGAGTAGCTTGATTTCAAAAAGACACCCTTTCCCCAAAAAAAAGGATGCCACTGGGCAACCGTCACTTCAGCAACACAATGCCAACAACCTCATGGAACAAACGGTCTGGTTGATTGATGCAGTGGAGGGACAAAACCACTACACACCACTTGAGATGGATGAGGCCCTACAGTATGAAAAATGGTAGGTGCGGGATTTCGTCCATCTACAGTAGAGGCGTAGGAACGCGGTATCTATTGAATAAAAACGGGTCGCCGCATTGTGTCGGATTGCTCCGTGCTGCAGGAATTCCATTTGCATTGCCTACTTTACACGGTGTTAACTAGGGGTCTGGAAACAAACACATCCGTTGGGTTTCATTGTTAGGAAAAAAGGCTAGCAGCCAGTTCCACACTTAACAAGCGACCCTCCCTCTTTCTCTTTGAACTCCGACGGCGGGCCCATTCACTCTCCTTCACTGAAGCACAGGGGAATCCGCGTCCCGGTTCATACCCCAAATCCCTGGATGTCTAGAAAAAGTCCACTAGTTTCTTGAGGCTCAATGAAGGCTGCACTGAAGATACACTCGTTTCATTGTTTGATTGCAGACAAGGCTAGAACCCAGCTCTCTTTGGTAAAAGCAGCCAATCCTGGATTGTGTCTGCCCTCGCGTCAGCAAATGGATGGAACCCACCACAAGGTTTCCGAGAACCTCCTGTTGGTTGGCAGTTGAAGGGAAACCCAAAGGATCCCAACAAGAATGGTTGGGGCCACATACGTATGAGAACCCATAGAGTCAGTGTATGTAAGCCTTTGGGTTGCCTTTGGGTAAGGTAAGTTGGAGCCTGGCACAGGCGAGTGGATCTGGACCCTAAATTTATGAATTTGCTTCCAGATTCAAAGGGCCATGAGTCGAACCAACGGAACCCTGAATATCTAGAAGTTTCCATCAAACAAATGGAAGTCTCAATCAGAACAAACTGCAACAACTCACAAACTGGAAACCAGGAATCCCCAAGTAAAGAACCTGGATCATGGGTGACTTTGCCTTCAAGAACCTGCGTGGGTGAGTTAGCTGTTCGGCTCAATGAGCCAGGGTCAAAATCACTTGTTCCGTTAGGGTTCCCCTGCGGGTTGTGGGGCAATTTCGAGCTCGTCCCCATGCCCCCTCCATAGACCAGGACAATGTTGACCGAGTCCAATGGATTCTACGAATCCTTATCCAATTCTAAGGGCGTCTATATATATGGGTGTGTCCTAAATACCTTTGGCGTCCTTTAACCCCACCCCCCACGAGCTTCCGGGCCATGCCGGCGAAGGAGTAGTGGCCCCCGTTCCGCAGAAGCTGAACGCCCTCAGATTTTCTTTTCCAGCGCAAGGGGAAGCTTTCAGGGCCTGTAGGGCCCAAAACACCCGAGCTGGCATTCTACACAAATAATGCTTATAAGGGCTTTACTCTACCCGCAATTTAACCAGACAAATGAAAGCCCTGGTGTACTTGTCACACAGCCCGAAAGAGAAAACCGGAAGAACATCATTGCCAAGAAACGCAAGCCCAGTTGCCAACAAAAGTGCGGACGGCGCTCATTTGAACTGGCCCTTGGTTTTGTGAGACGCCCGCATGGCTCGCACCGACACATCTGATGTTGCCGCCGCGTCCTCGGAGTGTCTGATTTATCTGGCCGTGGCTCAAAAAACCGGGATTCCGAAATGGAACATTCTGGTCAGTGGAAACATGGACCAAAACCAGCGGCTTGCCCCTCTTTCTCAATTTTGAGCCACACCCATCTCACTTTTGCGGGTATGTTGCCGGTGTGCGTCTTATGGACTTCCTCCCTTCACGATCACGGGGATCCCAACTTGTCATCCAAGTCGGCGTGCGCAACAAGACAATGTGGAGCATCCTATCCCGTTCGAACCTGTGGGTGACCCAAGTAATGTTACCCCCCAAAAAAAAGGACCCTGGAAGTCATAGGGGGTGCGGGTTTTAGTGAGGCTTCGTCACTTTTGGAGTGGGCCCTCACGACTCTCAACCGCAAGGAACCTAGCCACAAACCTGAGGTCGCAAGGGGAACATGGGTCTTTAGGGCGGGGGGTTCCCCAAAACGCTCCTTCCATGAGACCATGGTGTTAGCTCAGATTAATACGTTTTAACCGTCCACCCCACCTATGCTTAAACACCTGTAGTCCAACATGATCCACCTGTAGTCTAGCATCATCTTTTCTATTTCCCTCTAAATGTATGGCAAAATCTTAGTGTTTGCCAGCTGCTTGGCACCGTTTGGAGCTGTGTGGGCCATGGGTGCATGGGTGTTTGGGACCACCGACTGACCATGGGTGTTGCGCGTTTCGGACCACAGTTTGGGACCATGTGGGTGGAGCTGTGTGGGACCAGCTGTTTGGGACCACCGTTTGGCACCATGGTGTTTGGGACCAGCGGATATTCTTAGAATTAAACCGGTTGAACCCCAAACAAACACTCTTCTTTACCACGGGGAGCGCAGCTGCTCTCCTTCTTGTCGTCCGGAAAACGGTTCCTTCCAGACCCTGTGTGTAAGTCCGGCTCCGGGCGTTGGAAAGCAGGCCGTTGGGAACCTAAGGGGGCCTCCAAGGGTTTCATAGCACCTTTTACGGATCCTTACGGATCCTTACTAATACCAGGACCATCCCTGCTAACCCCAAGTCAAAGAGCCGGTCTTTCACCACCCGATTTTCCTATTCTTCGCACCTCGTGGATCACGTGCTTTGCGCCGGTCATCTCCACCGCCACATCCACGCCACGTGGGTAGCGCTCCCGGATGAAGCGCGACCGCTCCAGGCACTCCTGGCCGGAGAAGAACGCCGTGCCGAATTAGGATCCCAGCAAAAACATATCATTTTTGCCTGGTTAGTGGAAAACAATGGGACCCCAAAAAAGCAAACAAAAAAAAACACAAAAAAAAAACAGAAAGCGGAGCCAATTCTGAAGAAGTTCTTAGGTTGCTCTAAAGGGAAACCTAAAGGAAACCCACACGCCTAGGATGTCCCCTGACATGGGAATTGGGGTAACCTCCAACAGAAAACCATGTTTTCAGGGCCAACATATTCGAAGACACGCTCAAGACGCAATTCGAATAAGGCGAAGCCGAAGAAATGGTGGGTTTTCCTCTGGCTCGAAACCGCCAAAATAAGGTTGACGTGTTCGCAGAGTTCCGGTTGCCGTGAGCGCATGGCTTGTGGCTGATTCTCCATCTCTGCGGAAACATGGTGGGTAAATGTCTTGCTGCAAAATGCTCTACGAGCGAGCGCCTGGAAGAGAAATTGGGCCAGGGACCTCCAGTCGGGGACCCGGGCGAACCGGCAAGGCTCCACAGTTCTTGGCTGTATGGCCACGAATGCACTGATCCGAGACTACAAAGGGTGTGATCGGATTGCCTGACGGAAATCAAAATATATTGCCGAACCTGAAACAAACATCGCACTGGATGCTTGCCGGAAACAAATCGATGAAATCGGTGACACTGGCAAGTCCACACACCAAGCGACCAAGCAACGCTTCCTTTGGTTGCTGGCGAGACACCTCTGCAAAAAGTTTAGTTTGTTGTGGGTCCAACGAAAAAGATATTAAAGTCCAAAGATCCAAACAGCCATGAAGCTTTGAGAAGATTCTGAATTCGCAAGCTGCTGCAGTTGAAGACCAAACAACAACCAAAAAAAACGCCCGCCTCATCACCGCCATGAACCAGCAGGGGGATACCCCCAAACCTGGCAAACCCAGCTGGTTTGCTTAGCGGACGACGATTGACACGTCACGCCGACCAATCGGAATTTAGGGGCACGTCATTTCATTTGGAAGGTTTCTCAAGATAGTGGTCCCCAAAAATGGTTGGTTTCCTGTTGGCTTTCCTCTGAATACCAACCAAAAGGGGGTCACTGTTTTGGGAAACCCCCGCTTTGATTTCGAGGGAAACAGGGACTGGGTGGTTCAAACCCAAACCCAAGTCCAAACCAAGGATAAGTAATCTGAAAACCAGCACGGAATGAATGCCACACGTGTGCCCCCTACAAGCGCAACAAGCCGGCAGAGTTCTCGGCATGGAAAGTCGTTTCTGTGACTGCTAGAGCTGTGTTGATGTGACATGATGTGACCAAACAAACAACGAACAAAGACAAATCGATCATGCGAATCCTTCGTTGCTACCTAATCAAAAGCTCGTCACATGCTATAACACAGAACGTCGCAAGAAAATCAGACGCTGCCTGAGTAAGGGAACAAACACGCGTGTCTTCAGCGCTACCTTCTTGCTAAGGCGCCCCCAAGCACAACTTGACCGTCCATTACCGTATTACAATGCCCTATTGAACCAAAAACGAGTCCAAACTTGGTGTTCAGTGGTTTACCAGTGGGCCTGTCTTTTTAATTGTACCTTTTTTATTATACCAACAATACAATAAATAACTTCGATACCATAGCGCCTGGAATACATTGGGCGCCGCAAAAACCGCCCACGACGCTTCGTTTCGCAAGCTTCATTTCGAAGTCAAGTCTCCCTGGTCCCGGAACTCCATGGGATTAACAAGGCCCGGAACTGGGTATCCTCACATCCTTATAGGCAGGTGATTCCGATGATTTTCCTTACTCATGGTAGGTGATTCCTGGGATAGCTTCCCACCCTCTGAGGATCCGCGGATCCGCGGATCCGCGACTCACCTCGAATCCTTCAGAGTTCTGGAGTCCTCCCCACGGGTTCGAGCGAGCCTCTCGGCGGTCTTCAGGCGCTCTTCGTGGGTGTCGAAGCAGAACACACTGGCAAGCCCCGTGGATTCAGGCTGACCGATTTTCAATGCAAGTTTCTGGGGACACAGTATGCATAGTACGCATACATACATATATATATATATATGTGTATATGTATGTGTCTATATTTCCACATGCTCATCCCCCACGGGCTTGCCTTTGGACTTGCAACTTGCAACTTGCAACTAAGCTAAAACGAAAATCAATTTCCAGAAGGAGAGCGAGGGGGGGAAGCATATCGGTGTAGACGACTTTAAGCAGGAATTTAATACAGACTATGAGAGCAACAAATAAGGAACATATACGAACGTAACACAATTATAGTGGGCAAGATGATCGATTCCAAACCCTCCCAAAAAAGCCAGGCAGTGTTGCAAAGAAGATTGCAAGAAGCCGTGCAATGTAATGTGTTTTGAAGTTCTGGTTGTCTGGAGATATAGTCATATTTCAAAATGAATACAACCCTATTCTTAAAGGGACTGATGTTAATGAACCGGAGGTTTCAAAAATGAATCCATATAATATAAATTATATTCCTCTGTCTTTATGACTATTAAATGTTTACTAGTGAAATAAGTCATTCCGAAAAGCAACAAGATAGACATGAAAAACTCAGACCATCATGATTATATATATAATCGCATGTTAATTTATTCTTTATAACTTTTGTCTCCCATCCCTCTTTACACTCATTATATGTTCTTTATTATGCCCAAACTTCAGGATATTGGTTGCCTTCATAGGCTTTCTTTGCTGCATCCTTCACATGAATCAACGCACAGAAATACAAGTAATGAAGAGACGTGTCTTTCCCACACCGTGTATCTGCTGGCTCTCCACCTTGTCTCAGTGACGCCGCCTATCTCATGTTAACCCCGGATTAATAAACTCCTGGTTGATTGATAGGGGGCTGTCCCCTTTTAGTGGGGCCACATCACTTTTGGAGGGAACACCCCCCGAATAATGGGACGGGTTTATTTACCCTGGGTCAACATTATAAAGCTTGAGGATGTACTTTTGCATCAGTTCAATTTATTTGTAAACGTCTCTATCATCTCATGAAATGGCTGAAATGAAAAGAACGAAAGTTATCAAGAACAAAAGGACACACAGCGGAAAGGAGAAACACGCAAACAAATGCACAGGCCCCAAAGCACTGAACCACTTAGAGCTGAAAGCTTCAACACGGGACCGGGTCTGGAGTTTCTGGGTTGTGTTTTTGGGGGCCGGTGCAGGTTTCAGAGCTTTCATCTGCATTTGTGGTTTTGGCTTTGGAGGTTTCAGAGCTCCAAGCTGCAAAACGCATTATATGTCCAAATTGCTTGCTCTATGTGTACTCACCATTGTAAATACAACGGTGTTGTCAAACAAAGCCATACTTGAATCCAAAAACGACTTCCGCTTTCGAGCTGTTGCCTTTCAGCCCTCACAAGACGAAACATCTGCTATCATGGAGAAGGAAAAACACATACATCGTGATTACTGTGAGTCTAGACATGTGGAAGAAAGAGACATGCAGAGCAGACATGGCACTGTCCAACAAGAATCCTGTAGTCCCTCGGGGGTGGGGGTGACCAATGTATATATATATACAATATATACACCATCTAGATATATATATAGTAGATATATGTCGGAATATGTGATAAATGTATGTACACTTACATGAGGCAGAACAAGCATCTCTTTGCGACGGGATCGCCTTTTTTCATCCGGGGTCGTTCGAGTATCTGCAAAATCGCCCTGATCATACTATGGATGGGCAAAACCTGCATCAGTTGGTAGGTGGTTCATCCGTTCATCCTATTATTTCTAGGAATTCATTTGTCCTAAGTGGTCCGAAGTATTTGTCGGCCACAATTCCCTCAATCGAATTCATCCAGTCGGAGGTGTGTTGCTCGAAGGGAAGCCCTGAAACTTGTCGGCTGGCCTTTGGTTTCCTTGTCCCAAAACGATATCTATTTGGGTGCGTGTTTTTGAGGATACCCCTTTTATGGTGGTTTTGAAGGGAAACCACAAGGAGACGCACATGTTTTAGAACATTTTTTGGGTGGTCCCCCAAAAAAGACACAACCATTTGGAGACAGACCCGCATCGACGCGACACTGGGCAAACAAGCAACGCCATAATGGGAACCCCAGATTAACAAACCCACCCGAATAGGGGGTCACCCACCAAAGTGAGGGAATCCCACTCAAACAGGACACCTTTTCTTTGAGCAACCACGGGGTTAACATTCCATCTACAGCCGGGAATACCTGCAAGACCAAACGAGTCCGGATTGGACTGTGGGAAAACCCTGGCATTATCCAAATTGACAGGATTTACTGTTGGGGACAAACGGCCAATTGAGAACCAGAACCAGACCAACCCTAAGGATCAAATTCATGGGCAAAATCAAGAATCAGACAAACCCGATTCGATAGGAAACCCGAACGAGGTTGCGCAGCTAAGGTTTAAAGCTTAAGCGAGGGGTTGGCCCAATCCTACCTATGCAAAAGGCTTGGGGATGCGGGTTGGCTGTTTCTAGCCCAAAAGGCACAGTTGTAACCCAACGAATCAAGTCACTGTTTTGAGTCACTGAAGGAATGAAGCAAAATATTGCCTTTACTTAGACACCAACGCTATCCAAACACCCAAATAAGTGGACTAATCAGACTTCCGCTTTTGTCCCCTTTTCAATCTTGGCTATCAACTCTCGGCCACACTAGAAAAGCAAACACTAGGTCCTCCAGATTTGAGAGGTTAGAACAAGGGTTCCAACTTTTTCTGCAGTCTATTTTAGTAGGGAAACCGCCCGAAAAAGGGGTGAGAAAAGGCACCTAGCCGGGGGACCTAGGCTCCGCTCCGCTCCAAGTCAATACGGGACTCGTCGCCTGTCCATGCCAACGCGCTTCTTCAGCCACGCGACGGCATAGATGCCCAAGAGACCAACTCCTCGAGATCCCCATCGATCGATCCGGACCGCGAGCTGCTGAAAGGACCCAAGGACTTTCCGGAGAAAGCGGGAGAAAGCCCGTCAAAAGCCGGTGAACAGCAGCCGATAACAAGGCAAATGCCGAGGCTTAACTTGTTCCTGGCAAAAAGCAAAGGAATAGCAAAAGGCTTTTCAGGGCAAAGAAGTGTGATGTTGTTGGCTCTGCATTGGACTCCATTTAAAGTCCATCTGGATGGATGTTCCCGCAATCTGCAGCATACCCCCTGTAGAGTCTGATGGCTTCCGGTTAAGAACCTCAAAGGGTTTTCCCTCACGGACAGTCGCACCTCAAACTCCCCCTCCCGACGCCAAAGAGACAACTCCCAATTCTTGCAAACATGAATACTGCGCACCACGATATAGCGAAGCCACTCGTGCATCTGGTGTGTGTGTGTAGTGTGTGTGTGTGTGTGTCTCATTTCCTCCCTCTAGTGCACGGCGTCAACGTCTGAGTTGAACTATTGGCTAGCTCAACTAACTCAAGGGGAGAAAACAACATAGGGCAGGATTCAGCAGGATCATGGAGTCATGCCCCCCCACCCCCGAGGGCGCCCTCCTTGCACAACGGCACTCTTGTTCGAGCCATACCTGCACTAGCGGGAAACGCAAGTCCAATCCATTTGGAAGTGGCTCAGCTTCATGTACAAGATGCTCGCTCTCGCAGGGCTCATGGGAAGCAAAGGACACCTCGTTTAAACCGATCTCTCCATAGGTTGGGCGGGGGTTCCCTTCTTCGGGGGGGGACTACTATGGGCGGACATGGTTGTGAGCACAACGTGTGGCCCAAATCGCCGGACGAGCCACCACTCCGAGAGTGTCCACTACGAGCTGCCAATGAACTTGGCAGACGAGATAATTCACATAGCTGAACATTTCTTGGAATTCCCGAGCAAGCGACTGTCATCAGTTTCGATCTCTTACCCGAGCTTGTAGTTTCCATATGAAGGCTGGCTGCGAATCAGTGTTGCTTTCAACTGACTTGCTGCAGCTTGAATCTTCAAGGTCTTTCCTAGCACTCGTATGCTGACTGCCGAGGATCGGCAAACAAGTTCAAACTTTGTCATTGCTTACTGTCTTCCTGAAGGCAAGTCCAGGAGCTCAGGAAGTGACTAGACGAAACTTGGAAATGCCGAGCATTATGTGCAAACACGGGTGGCCAGTGCACCCAAGAACATTCAAAGACCACCCTAAATAGGGACTGCCCGCTAGCGAGCAACCAAACTTGCGCTATGGGACTTCCATTGCTGTAGGTCCAACACATCCAAACGACTGCATAAATCTACCCCATTGCTTGAACTCAGACCCTTCGAGAGGACTGCCCTTTCCCGGCAACACAAGCAAACCCAACGTTTCGAGCAGAAAACCGCAAGGACATCCAGGAATTCTCTGTTGAAACCAAACCCAAAAAGGGCACCCTCAACAAACGTCAGAAGCCAGGGCTTACCCACAACAAGGTCTTCCAGGACCGTTTGGAGTCAGGCCAGATAGAGTACTGTTTGTTGTACCGAAACCCTCCAGCAGCCATGAGAAGACCCCCCCCCCAGCAAGGAAAACGGCGCCTCTGGCCAGAAAAAGGTGCCCGGAATCAACCCATCAAAGTGACAAGGGAAGCCACTGGATAGACGAAACACGCCCAAGCTTCTTGTTTACCTCCATGGTCTTCGTACCGAGTTGTGTCCCTTTGGCTTCCCCGCACCAACTTGTGCGTTCAGCTAACCAAGAATCAAAAGGTGCTCTGGTACGGACATTGTCAAGAAGAACCACCCGCACCTTTTTAGAGGTACCCCCAAAATGGCTTCGGTTGTCCTTTTGGCTTTTCTGCAAAACACCCAAAAAAAGGTATCCTCGTACCTCCCAACAAAAAGACACACAAACTTGTGGCTTCCCAGCCCGAAAGAAAGAAACACAGCGCCTTGCGACCGCGCGACCGACTCCCGACTCTCGGGCAGGCGCCACGAGGCGCCTCGGCAGGCGGGCCATATCCAGGGCATTCACCACCGTGGCCAATGCGCAGTTCGCAGGCGCACAAACCTCGGGCTCCGACCAAAAACGGCGTAGGGCGACAAATACAAGCTAGACTTTTTTTGGTATATAGTTGTGTTGGAAGAAACAAAACCCTCAACAAAAGTCGGAAAACAGGGGAAACAGCACATTTGTAGTTGATTCTAAAGGGAAACACCCTCAGCCAAAAGTCGGAGAACAAGGGAAGCAACACATCTAAAGGGACACCCCCTTCAAAAGAGTCGAACAAAAGGGAAGCTACCCATTTTTAGGTAGTTGATTCAACAGGAACCCCCCCCTCAAAAAAGTGGGAGAAAAGGAAGCAGCACATTAGTTGATTCTAAAGGGACCCCTCCAAAAAAAGTCGGACAAAAAGGGAAGCAACACATGGATTTGTTGATGGTAAAGGGAAACCTCCTTCAAAAGAGTCGAACAAAAGGGAAGCAAGACAAAAAGGGAACCAACACATGGATTTGTTGATGGTAAAGGGAAATCTCCTTCAAAAGAGTCGAACAAAAGGGAAGCTACCCGTTTCTAGGTAGTGGATTTATTGTAAAGGAATGTTTTCTTCAAAAGAGTCGAACAAAAGGGAAGCTACCCGTTTTTAGGTAGTTGATTTATTGTAAGGGAAACCTCCTTTAACAGAGTGGAACAAAAGGGAAGCCACATATTGTCAGGCATTTGATTTATTGTACAGGGAAACCTCCTTTAACAGAGTCGAACAAAAGGGAAGCTACCCATTTTTAGGTAGTTGATATGTTGTACAGGGATTTTTCTTCAAAACAGTGGAACAAAAGGAAAGCTACCTATTTCTAGGTAGTTGATGTGTTGTACAGTGTTTTTTCTTCAAAGGAGTCGAACAAAAGGGAAGCTACACATGTTTTTAGGTAGTTGATTTGTTAATAAAGGGAAACCTCCTTCAAAAGAGTCGACCAACAAAAAAGCTACCCATTTTTTAGCTAGTTGATTTATGAATAAAGGGAAACCTCCTTCAAAAGAGTCGACCAACAAAAAAAGCTTCCCATTTTTTTAGGTAGTTGATTTGTTAATAAAGGGAAACCTCCTTCAAAAGAGTCGACCAACAGGGAAGCTACCCATGTTTTAGGTAGTTGATTTGTTAATAAAGGTCAACTTTCCTCACAAGAGTCGATCAACACATTTCTTTAGACCAAAACAATCCTGCGAAGACAGGCGCTACCCTTTTTCCATTGTAAGGGAAGCTACACATTTGTTTGGTGGTTGAATTATTAATAAAGAGACACCTCCTTTAAAAGACTCGAACCACTCTTGTTTGCGGGTCAAAACAACCACCATTTTGGTTACCGTAGGTGAATTCACCACCCATTTTAGAACCTATTTCAGTGGTTGGATTGAATCCGTCCCGTTCACTGGTTGGGTAAACCACTAGGGGACAGGGTTTAGTCCACAGGTTTCCATTTGACAGGGTGCCATTTTGGGTACCAAGTTTGCCCCACTGCCAGGCTGTAAGGGTTTAACTAGGCGTTATCATCTCAATTAAACCGTGCAATCGTGGGAATGATGAAATTGTGCACCGCCAAAGAAACCCTCGAATGATGATTCCTCCGTAACTACCAACGCAAATAGCAACAGGCCATGGTTTCTGGTTGAACAAGTGATGCAGAATTTCGCCCATCCACAGTAGAAACCCTGGTAACGGGGATTTTGACCCACAGCCAACAGCCAACTGGGATCCACAGCCAACGGGAAATTCGCCCGTCCATCCACAGCCAACTGGGAAGCGGGGGTTTTGACCCATGGCCATGTGAAGATTTCCCGGGGCCCCAGGCCCGGGAGCTCAAGCTCTCCGGCAGCTTCACCGCGTGGGTCCTGGCCGGGAGCCCCGCAAGCGGCCGATCCGGGGTCCCTTTGGATGGGTTCAACCGTGGTTTTTTCTTAGGTGGTAGCTCTTGGGGGTGTACTTTGGATGGTTTCAACCATGTTTTTTAAGGTGGAGACTCTTGGGTGGTTTACTTTGGATGGGTTCAACCGTGGTTTTTTCTTAGGTGGTAGCTCTTGGGGGTGTACTTTGGATGGTTTCAACCATGTTTTTTAAGGTGGAGACTCTTGGGTGGTTTACTTTGGATGGGTTCAACCGTGGTTTTTTCTTAGGTGGTAGCTCTTGGGGGTGTACTTTGGATGGATTTTCAACCATGTTTTTTAAGGTGGAGACTCTTGGGTGGTTTACTTTGGATGGGTTCAACCGTGGTTTTTCTTAGGTGGTAGCTCTTGGGTGGTTTACTTTGGATGGTTTCAACCATGGTTTTTTAGGTGGTAGCTCTTGGGGGTGTACTTTGGATGGTTTCAACCATGTTTTTTAAGGTGGAGACTCTTGGGTGGTTTACTTTGGATGGGTTCAACCGTGGTTTTTTCTTAGGTGGTAGCTCTTGGGGGTGTACTTTGGATGGTTTCAACCATGTTTTTTAAGGTGGAGACTCTTGGGTGGTTTACTTTGGATGGGTTCAACCGTGGTTTTTTCTTAGGTGGTAGCTCTTGGGGGTGTACTTTGGATGGTTTCAACCATGTTTTTTAAGGTGGAGACTCTTGGGTGGTTTACTTTGGATGGGTTCAACCGTGGTTTTTTCTTAGGTGGTAGCTCTTGGGGGTGTACTTTGGATGGTTTCAACCATGTTTTTTAAGGTGGAGACTCTTGGGTGGTTTACTTTGGATGGTTTCAACCGTGGTTTTTTCTTAGGTGGTAGCTCTTGGGGGTGTACTTTGGATGGTTTCAACCATGTTTTTAAAGGTGGAGACTCTTGGGTGGTTTACTTTGGATGGTTTCAACCATGGTTTCTTAGGTGGTAACTCTTGGGTGGTTTACTTTGGATGGTTTCAACCATGGTTTCTTAGGTGGTAACTCTTGGGTGGTTTACTTTGGATGGTTTCAACCATGGTTTCTTAGGTGGTAACTCTTGGGTGGTTTACCTTGGATGGTTTCAACCATGGTTTCTTAGGTGGTAACTCTTGGGTGGTTTACTTTGGATGGTTTCAACCATGGTTTCTTAGGTGGTAACTCTTGGGTGGTTTACTTTGGATGGTTTCAACCATGGTTTCTTAGGTGGTAACTCTCGGGTGGTTTACTTTGGATGGATTCAACCATGGTTTCTTAGGTGGTAACTCTTGGGTGGTTGACATTGGATGGTTTCAACCATGGTTTCTTAGGTGGTAACTCTTGGGTGGTTTACTTTGCATGGTTTCAACCATGGTTTTTCTTAGGTGGTAACTCTTGGGTGGTTTACTTTGGATGGTTTCAACCGTGGTTTCTTAGGTGGTAACTCTTGGGTGGTTTACTTTGGATGGTTTCAACCATGGTTTCTTAGGTGGTAACTCTTGGGTGGTTTACTTTGGATGGTTTCAAACATGGTTTCTTAGGTGGTAACTCTTGGGTGGTTGACTTTGGATGGTTTCAACCATGGTTTCTTAGGTGGTAACTCTTGGGTGGTTGACATTGGATGGTTTCAACCATGGTTTCGTTTCAACCATGGTTTTTCTTAGTTGGTACCTCTTGGGTGGCTGACTTTGGATGGTTTCAACCATGGTTTCTTCGGTGGTAACTCTTGGGTGGTTTACTTTGGATGGATTCAACCATGGTTTCTTAGGTGGTAACTCTCGGGTGGTTTACTTTGCATGGTTTCAACCATGGTTTTTAAGGTGGCAACTCTTGGGTGGTTGACTTTGGCTGGTTTCAACTATGGTTTCTTGGGTGGCCTACTTTGGATGGTTTCAACCATGGTTTCTTAGGTGGTAACTGTCGGGTGGTTTACTTTGGATGGTTTCAACCATGGTTTTTAAGGTGGCAACTCTTGGGTGGTTGACTTTGGCTGGTTTCAACTATGGTTTCTTGGGTGGCTTACTTTGGATGGTTTCAACCATGGTTTCTTAGGTGGTAACTCTCGGGTGGTTTACTTTGGATGGTTTCAACCATGGTGGTAACTCTTGGGTGGTTTACTTTGGATGGTTGCAACCATGGTTTCTTAGGTGGTAACTCTTGGGTGGTTTACTTTGGATGGTTTCAACCATGGTTTCTTAGGTGGTAACTCTTGGGTGGTTTACTTTGGATGGTTTCAACCATGGTTTCTTAGGTGGTAACTCTTGGGTGGTTTACTTTGTATGGTTTCAACCATGGTTTCTTAGGTGGTAACTCTTGGGTGGTTTACTTTGGATGGTTTCAACCATGGCTTCTTAGGTGGTAACTCTTGGGTGGTTTACTTTGGATGGTTTCAACCATGGTTTCTTAGGTGGTAACTCTTGGGTGGTTGACTTTGGCTGGTTTCAACTATGGTTTCTTGGGTGGTTTACTTTGGATGGTTTCAATCATGGTTTCTTAGGTGGTAACTCTTGGGTGGCTTACTTTGGATGGTTTCAACCATGGTTTCTTAGGTGGTAACTCTTTTTTTGTGATTTGGAGGCTGGGAGGGTGGACGAGTCATCTATTTCGCGCCATGAAACGAAACCATGGCTGAGTTGAGACCATTCTATGTTTCGAATCATTTTATTCTTCTGAACGGTGGTGCGACATGGATGCGTCCATCAGTATGCAACAAGGGGAGCTGGTGGTTTATCAACTGGTAGGCACCTATCAAGCAACTTGGTTCTTATCTCCTGTTGGTGGGTGGAAAATCCATTTCGCACCACATGGTAGGTGGTTTATCAACCATTATTTCTACTGATTTCCTCAATCCATAAGTGGTGCGAAGTGGGTTTTGTCCACCAGTCTGATAGGTCCTCCAGATTTGAGAGGTTAGAGGTTAGGGTACCAACTTTTTTCTGCAGTCTATTTTAGTAGGGGAACCGAATCTCCCCAAAAAAAAGGTGAGAAAGGGCACTAATGGGGGACCTAGAAAGTCATGAGTTTGTCATGTTGAGCCCTGATTAATTAATAAACCCCGACAGTTATTAATCAGGCGGGTCCCCCTGGAAGAAATGATCTCCCACTAAAACGGGACCCCTTAATCACAAGTTTGCAGGGTTG